GCCTTGAGGCTTATGATGCAACCTATGCTACAAGTGTTCAATTTGGCAAAACAAATATCAAGTGATAAGTGCATGCTGTGCTTCTACACAGTCTTCAAGCCCAAAAGGCTTATGTGTTGTTGCATGCATGGTTGCACCTGCATGCTTGGCAATACTGTTCATGCTGAGTTGTTTGTGCAGCATCTGGAAGTGGATCAAATCTGTGAGTGTTTTGTGCACCATGCCCTGCACCATCACCAGATCAGCCTTTGTGCAAAATGGTGCTGAGAGTTGGATTGTTCTTCATTGGAGTTCAGGGTGGCAGTCATGGCAACATGGCTTGTACTGTGAACAAGGCATGTTGTAAAGTTGTTTCAGCACAGACATGTGAGTTCATGTGGGCCCTATACCTGAGGTATGAGAACAGACCTTGTGGTGCTTCACATTTTCCAGAAGCCATTGCCATGCAGAGCTGGATCAGAGATGCAAACCATGAGGTCTACAGACAGATTGAACTGAACAATGGATGCATTAGAATGCAACTAATCTGCATTTGTGCCTGGGGAGCCTAAATGATTTTGTTTTTGGGATGCATACATTTTTCATCACCTGCCTAGCCTAGGTATCCTATGGCCTGGCTCTGTGAGACCTTCTGGGAGATTGGCAACCCTTTGCACCAGCCATCTCAGTTTCAGGAGGATCTCTTGTGGAAGCTGTTTGGGAAAACGCCCTCAACTCTGCTGGGCACTGAAAACCAAGTGTACCCAGTTCCCTAACTAAGTTGCAGTCCTGAGGATGAAAACAAATTTCAGCAGCTGTGTGCACTCATGCCTCATGCCTTTCAAGCCCTTGGGCTTATTGCATGCATGCTTGGTAGCTATACATGCCAATGTGGGGTGGCCTGGGGTGATTGGATGTCAAGCCAGCCAGGCTTATGTCATGCTTGTGGCCTTGGCATGCCTGCCTGACATGTCATGCATGGTTTGAATTGACACTTTGTTACTTGAATGTTGTCAAGCCCTAGGGCTTTTGGCACACAGCATTGCTGGACATGGTGAGTGGTTGCTGCAATGTTTGATTTGACCAAAGCATCTTTGTGTGTTGGTTCAAGCCCAAGCTTCTTTTGTGGATTTGTAATTTGACATCTCAAGTGTGTTCCAGGTCACACAAGCCTGCAGGCAGGCTTATACATGCATGTGGGCACACACACACACTGGATGATTCAAGTCACATTGCAATATATTGCATGCTACACATATATAGCAGTTTTAGGATTGCAACCATGGAAGCCTCAAGCTCAGGCTCAAGGCCTGCAAAGCTGAGGAGGCTTGAAGATTTGAGAAGGGGCAACCCCTATGTGAGCTCCAGTGCTTTATCTAACATTGTCAAGGACATCCAGCAACATGGTCTTCCAGAACTGCACCAGCGCAAGCACATGCAACAAGCCAGAGATGCAAGGCTGGATGAACACAATGGATATGGCCCACTTACTGAGAAAATCAATGTCATGCTTAAGGATGGCAAGAAGGGTGAGATCATGGTGGTCAATATTTTTACTTTTCTGCAAGCTTTGTATGAGCAAAATGGTGGTTTCACTGCACTGGTCAATACAAGTTTGGAAAAACATCCATGCAGTCACAATAACCCTTGGGACCTCATATATTACACTGATGAAATTGTGCCAGGCAACCCCCTTTCTGCAGAGACAAGCAGAAAAATTCAAACAGCTTATCTCAGCTTCAAGCAATTTGGTGCAACTGCCTTATCTAAGGAGGAGGCATGGCTGGTTGCTTTTGCCAAAAGGTCTTCACATGTCATGGAGATGGAAGCAGGCATGTCCCAAGTGACAGCAGCACTTTTGGATCACATATTCCACCACCCCTCTTGTTCCCCTGATATTGGGGGATTGATGCTGAAAGATAGGTCAGGTGGAAGCATTAAACTTTGGTTCAGATTGGGTATGATGCTCCAAGATGGGGCAGCACACAAAGCTGTTTGGGGGTTGAAGGGTGATGCAGCTAGTAAATTCTGTGTATTTTGTTTGAATTTACTGACTGCGAAAAGCAACATTGTTGATGAGTCCAATGAGCATCTGCTCATTGCCCAAAGTTGGGACCTTTCCCAAGTTCAACAAGCAAGCAATGATGATGTTCATGCAACTGCCAAAAGATTGGAGCAGAAACATGTGGAACTCAAAGCCAATGAGTTTCAACTTTGGCAGCAAGCAGTGGGAATGAATTACAACAAGTATGCACTGTTGCACTGGGAGTCACTGAAGGGCCATGTGCACCCTATCAGCCAATTTCTCCATGATTGGATGCACTGTTTTCTGGTATCTGGGATCTTCCAAACTGTTATGCATTTGATTATGACAGCTTTGGAAGCAATTTTTTCTGGAAATGTCTATGATTTGGCCAGTCAAGTTGTTGGTGCTTGGAACCTGCCTGCAGTCAGGCATGACAATTTGGGGAAACTGTTTGAACCAAAAAGGAAGAAAGCCAACAAACTGGCAGGCACCTTCAAATGCACTGCCAGTGAAGCTTTGGGACTTGCACCAATTTTTGCATACTTCCTGCAAACCATTATAGTGCCAAAAGGTTTGTGCAAAGATGAATGCTTTGCCTACTTTGCATTGGTGGACATTTTGGACCTGATCCAATTGGTGCCTTTGGGCATTATCACACACCATGTGCTTGAGAGATCTTTGCAAAACTTCATTAACCTATGCATCACAGCTGGTTGGAAGCCATACATGCATACCAAGTTTCACTGGAGCTTACATTTTGGACATCACCTGTCCAAGCACAAGATGTTGCCATCTTGCTTTGTTCAAGAACGCAAACATAAAACCATCAAGAGACACTTGGTAATTGTTTTGATGGCTTTGCATTCCCACATTTCTTTTTTGGTGTTGCTTCTTGCATGCTGATGAGCCCTGTGCAACCCTCAAGATTTAGATACTGAGGATATGCATCCTCCATCCAGAACCTGAAAACCTTTGAGAAGTCTGTCACATCTGAAATTCTTTGCCATGATATGGAGAAGCTGCAAGACCCTGATGCATTTAGTGAATCTGCTAGGCTAGTGAAAGAGGGAAAGCCCAGCAAGAAATTGCTTTGTTTTTTGCAAAAGCACTTGAATTGTACACAAGATGTGGAAATTTTCAGCTGCTTACAAGCACATATGTCACCTGCAGGAATTTGCAGCAAAGGTGATATTTGTGTCTTCAAAGGCAAACCTTTGAAATTTTGCCAGGTGTGGTTACATGTCAAGCTGGATTCCACAATTTTGTCTATGGTGTCCATGTGGGATATTCTGGAAATTGATGAATGTGGATGCCATGCTCTGTGCAAGAAGAAAGATGATGCAATGTTTGTGGAAACACACACCATTGCCACCACTACTTCTTTTATGAATTTCAAGAACAACTTGTACAAAGTTATCATTCCTTTCCAATGGAGGTAATGTAAATGGCAGCAAAGGTTTCTGAAATGCTGGCTGCTGTTTCACTGAAAAAGAAAGATGCTGCATCTAGTGCCTTGGGTTGTACTGGGCCAAAAAGCTGTAGGTAAGCTCTAAAGCATTTAATTCAGCCTGGCAATGAGTTGCACATTGAGTTAGACATTTTGAAGCCTCCATGCTTCATGCACAAGCCCTGTGGGCTTATGGGCAAAGCAAGGTCATAGGCCCTTAGACCATATGCAACACAAGTTCTTGGCATGCCCATGGCAAACATCTTTGCATCTTTCAAACCACTATACATACATGTCTCAAGCCAACAAGGCTTATGCAAGCTTCAACCAACAAGACAAAATGTTCGTGCTGAGTTACAAGCATGAATTCCTCTCTATAAGGGTATGTTCCAACTTCCACTATATGCAAGTTTTTGGCCCAGAGGATCACCTGCAGCCTTCTTGCTTCTGTATACCCAACATGCCTTCAGTGTATGTGGAGCAATGGCAGGATCCAATTACCTTGGCACTCTTTGAAAGAGTATGGGTCTCATCCTATTGGAGAAGAAGCTGGACAAGACATGATGCCATCCTCTACTGTAATGCCAGGTATGCCCTCACAGTTTGCAAGATGGAAAAGACAAAATTCAAGGCCAAGCTTTTGAAGGGGAACCAAGAAGGTTTGTACAAGAAGCATTTGAAAAATGCCAAGTAATTTGTGATACATCACCTTCTTTTCTTGCACCACTGCAACCCTTGAGCAGAGGTGTATCAGGACAAATAAATGCTGAGACCTTCAACTTGAGAGAGGAAAATGCATGGGTCTTGCAAGAGTGAAGCTGCAGCCACTGCCAGTCCTGTTGACACCATATACCACAAGTGGTTTTTGTTTTGTAGTCAAATCTTCAAGCCCAAGGGCTTTTGTCTAATTGGGAAGAAGGTTTCAAACAAACAAGCCTGGCTGCACTATGTCAAGCCAATTTGGCTTATGTATTTGCAAGCTTCAAGCATGCCCTGTGTAGAAATGGGTATGCATTCAAAACATGCATCTATTCCATTAAAGGAAACATGTCTGAGCTTGCATATGCTGCATGAAGCTTGCAGTGTATTTATATAGATGTTTCAGGCTGCCAGCTCTTTGAAATATTTTCAAATTGTCCAAAGCAAATACCTTTTTCTAGGTTGAGGTCAAGCATTGAAGATTGGCATGGGTTGTTGTTAAATGGATTGGAAGCAGCAGCCAAGCATGCCAGTGACAGCCAGCCACAAACATGAATCATAAATTAAAAAACTAAGTTTTTAACCAATCAGCCTTGGTTTTTGAAGTACCTAACCACTTAGCTAACTACTTAGCTAAGTACCCAGCTAACTACTTAGCTAACTAGTTAGCTAAGCACTTAGCAATAGTTATAAATGATATAACCTAGACCCTAACCTATAGCAAAGTTAGCAACTCCCCGGTTCATCCCAGTACCAATTTGGTAACCCAACGTGGCTAGCTGGGACATTATGGGGGGATGGTTTGGATGGGAAACTCATCCAGAAAACCACAAGAAGCACAATGTTCGCCTCCATAGCGTAGCTCGTTCACCACCTGTGGCACGAGACGGCCAATGAGGTTGCTGTACTTAATCCGGACCAGAGAAATATAAGTCCACGTAACGGTTTATTGTCTCCAGTGTGGGTGGAGACTGGTACTGCAAACCATACGCACTTGAAAAATGAACATTGTGGGCAACATCCCAAATACCACCAACAATAATTTCAATGAGGTGTAAAAACTCCAAAGCGGGAGATTTACCAATACCTGTTGGTTACAACCAGGGACCCACCCAGGGTCCGGACGTAGTACCCGATGATCTTCGCTTGGAATACAAACATCAGAAAGGACAAGGTCAAGTACCTGCCAGCCACATCGGATGGTCAGTTGACTCCACCTCGTATGGTTGGGGCCCCCATCAAAATGGATCTTGATTTCCATGGCACAAAAGATCATAACACATAGCCTTTGAATGCCTAGATCTACACTGTCTACCACAACAGAATGGTGTGTGCCCGGAAGGATAAAAACTATAATGGCTCGAACGTTAACAGCAGCCGTCTGCCACGGTGCTGAAGTATATGATGATCCCATCCCTCTTTCCCAGTAGAAACTTCGCAAACTGTGGGATGAAAATGATGACCGTGATGATAATGGAGTGGTGATGATGGTTATATATCATGATCTTGCCTTCAATAGCAAAAAACATGAAACAAAATCATCCGTATCTCTCCCAACACATCAGCATCACATGAACCGTTTCCGGGGTTCCAACAAAACCACAGCAACGGACGCAGGGCGCTGCTTGCCCAGTTTGAAAACGGCTTCCTTGAAACTCCTCGCAGTGGATGACCAGCGGGAACCAACCTTTTGTCTTTCAATGGTGAGCGCCTTCAAACCGTGAGGGTATTAAGTGCCCTCCAAAATTGACAAAATTAATATCATGTCATGAGACTCGAAAGATATTTATCATATTTTACGCGTGCAGTCTTTGCCAACCAACTGCGGCCAAAAACCACAGCAACCCGGCTGAGCCGATGCGCCTTTCCATCCAGATCTCGGCAAAGAGCGGCATTGAGGTGGCCACGAGGAACAAGAAAATCACCTGCAACCCGCAGCCCAGCAGCCCTGCACCCTGAGTTCCGTAAGGCAGAAATACACAATTGGTAAACCAAACAATTATACGCAATCACCAGCATCATTAGTATGTAACATATGTGTGTGTGTGCGTGTGCACATATAACAGTGTGATGTTGGCATTTGTTTTCTGCACCATGTGTTTGTATATCATTATGATAAAATATTATTTAGTTTGCTAAAACCACATCCGCACGTGTATATATATATATAGGTATGCACAACTCTAATCACGAAAAATCATATATGTACAAACAAGCGGTGTGTATCACATACAATCAACATATTGTATATCATATATCAAAACATATTCTGCTCAAAGTGTCTGTGTATATAAATATGTATGTTTGTTTGTATGTTTGTTTGAATGTCACAATGTATTTGTATGTATGTATGTATATGTGTATGTATATGTGTATGTATGTGTATGTATGTGTATGTATGTGTATGTATGTGTATGTATGTGTATGTATATGTGTATGTATGTGTATGTATGTATGCATTTATGTATACAGTCTACGCCTCACCGAGACGTGGAAACCTCCTTCTCAGCGCCGCACCCAGGAATACCAAATGGACAACAGCTGGGCCATGGCCTCGCAAGTTTTGCAACAAAAATGGAATCAACACAAGTGGGGAATGCGTGGGGAGTTCGTGCATTATAGGTTTTAAGCCTGAGATGATTCTTGATTAATTAATTCCTTTTTTAAATCAAGACGAAACTTTAAAAAACTTGGTACTGTTGTTCGGTTGCTGAGTTGTTAGGCTCGGAAGCCCAACAAGCGTTTCAAGAAGGGTTCATGGGTACAGTATGCAACAAGTGTTTTACAAGTTTGTTCATGTTGTAAAACGTTTCTTGTAAAAAAAGTTTGCGCGACATCAGGTTTTTCAGCACGCCACCGGTAGCGTGATCTGTCTAGTGAAGGGCGCCAGTCATTTACTGGCTTCAACTGCTTTGCGCGATCTTCCTTGCTGCTCTTTGCCTTCTTTTCCTTCTTCTCTGGCTCATCCGGTTTCTCTTTCGGTTTGTGGCAGTGGCAGCCTTTCTTTTCTTGCTCTTGCCATTGCCACACTCATTGGCATCATCCTTTGGATGACACCTTGTGTCCATCTCCTGCTGGTCCTTCTGGTCCCTGAGCCTTCATATCCGGAACTTTTATGAACTTTTTTGGCATCATCCATAGGTTCCGCGTTATCATTCTGGGTATCCATTGGCTGCTTCTCTTCATTCTGGACCTCCATTGGCTTGTTCTCGTCGATCTGGGCACCGTTTGGCCTCTCTTCATTCTGAACCTCCATCGGCTCGTTCTTGTCGGTCTGGGCACCGCGTGGCTTCTATTCATTCTTGGTCTCCATCGGCTCCTGCTGCTCCATCTGGGCATCCTGTTGCTTCCCGTCATTCTGGGAAACTGATGACTTACCTGGGCTGGCTGCGCAAATCCGGATTAGTGGCAACTGATTGCTGAGAGCACCATGCGCGTATCAGTGGCAATTGATTACCCGGAGTTGCATGTGTTTGATGCGCTTCCAAGGTTTGCCCACTTAGGAAGCCAATTATTACGTTCAGGAAGATCTCGACTTAGTCACAATATCTCTTCTTCTCAGGAAACCCTTGGTATGTTCTGCAGATTGCGTCAAAAGGGCTGAGACGTCATTTATGAGAAACAAAACTGGGACTTGGGGCTTGCAATGTGGGGTCATCATATTGCAAGATCTGAACATCTTCAAGACGCAACCTTTACGTAAGGAAAAGGCAAAAGAAATTTTGCAAATGGCAAGGCCGATGCCATGAATGGGCAAAGCAAAATGCTTCTGGTCATTCTCAGCATTCTCATCCTTCTGCTTGCGCCGCTGATCCGTCAAGGGCAAGGGCTTCTCTTCCTCATGCGGTTCTGCATCCTCATCCCCATTCTCACCCTCGTCCTCTTCTTCCTTGACTCCCCTCCGTACACGTGAGTCATTATTGAAGGTCATTGAGACTAACGCTTGCAATGTGTCAGTGTCAATCTGTTTTGAGGTGATCACACCCAATGAGTGTTGAGTACTCGATAAACTATTATCTTCCCTCCTTCAGACTGACCTTCTGTCCGCTGATCCACCGTGCGAGGTCCGGCAGCCTGGGTATGTTTACCTAAATTAGAGGTACCTTCCATACATAAGGTCTATGTAAGGGTTGTGTAAGGGGCTATACCTTCAAAATATAGACCCTATACCCAGCAAGCGTTTTCTACACTTTGCCCCCCACGTCACATAACGCTTCTTCCAAACTGAAAATACATGACCGTCTGAACGGGGCCCCGCAAGCAACTCAACAAGTACCGTTTCCCCACTATGGTAAGTAAACATAAATAAACGTAAATAATTGTAAACAAACAATAATCTAGCATTAAAAAACACATAAATTGTAAATATGTTTGTTCTAGGGGATTCATTAAATCTCCTGCAGTGGTAGATAATCATGATGATCCCTGGTAAATGCTGATTGTGGGACTTAAACTTTGGGGACTCAAAATCTGAGGAATTAACATTTGGAGACGTAGTAAGACCTCTATTTTTGAGAACACTGTATTTGTTTAAACAAAATAAGCGCCACTATGAATAGAGAATACCATTGGTGACGGTAGATATTTGAAATCAAGAAACTTGCAGTCATTATCTATATTGATATTATCGTATGTTATTCATTATATATAGTAGACGATAATCCAATGGGAAATATGATTCAAGAATCCCCTGATGAATCATGAATCCGCGGGGATTAAAACTAAAGAATATAAATAGTCTTAGTATATGTTTCAACATGTAGATTATAGCGATAAGCCAATGAGAAATTCATACGTTAATACTGATATTGATATTGACATTGATATTGAGTTTTCCTGATTCGTTAAACATCCTTAATTAGCTATTCATGTCAATGAACACTCATTAATAAATGCAATGGTGTTACTACACATAATCCATAGAATTTTTGTATGACCACAATGACTAAGTGACAAGCTGCGTTGCCTTTGGAACTTGGATAAACATCAACAACTCTGACAATGCCTTTGTGAGAAATCGACCAGTACAACGAGGGTCCAAACTTCTCAACTGACTCATGAAACGAATCAATGACAAGCTTCAGCCCCATCCAGAGTTCTGAGACATGGCTCTTTGAGAAAGCTTGAAACTCAAGGGACAGGCTGGTTTTCCCAAGCAATGCCTCTGCAGCCGGAACGGAAGAGCCTCCACTGGTGCCGGGCCCCACTGTGCCCCGTTTTGCCCGTCCCTGGTCATTTAACTGGCCTTTAACCGGGGTAGCTGTGGATAGTTGGGATAGTTATGATTGTTTGCTTGGATGTTTCCGTGGTTTCCCTACAGCCAGGTACCTCAAATTTCATGACAGGTTCCCAAGGGCTGCCAAGCTGCAATAGTTTTCGAAGGATTGAAATGTGCCCTCACCTCGGCTGTGAATCATCAGAAGGTGCGCGTTCCCCCTTGGAAAAAAGTGTCAATAAGGATCACCCCCGGTATGATGAAAGAACATGTTAATCTTTGAACAAATAAGTCAGACAATGATTGGGTCTGTGATATTCCAATTGTAGGTAGCTTGTAGCGCATAGCCCATGTTCATCCAACCATTTACTGTTTCAGTTCCTGTATCCACTGTCCTGAGACTCCAGCAATCTGCAGCCAAGACCACCTCAGATGATCTGTGAACTCTTTGAAGTTGTCAAAATTGGGTACCCCCAGGCTGGTATTCCTTAAAAGATGTGTTATTAAAACATCACCAAACATCTGATAAGTCCCATAGATTCCCATAGGTTTTAAATGTTGACCCATGACTCATGACGCCAATGCTACCTTCGATGCCAGCTTCCCAGATCTCCTGATAGTGCTCTCTTCTTGACTAAATGTACCCCAACATACAATGGTTCATCATCATTGCCTTCGAGTTAGCATCAATCATCATCTACCTGTTACTTGTGAAGAAGCATTGGAGGTTTTGGTAACACCTCACACATCCTCTCACCATCATTGACTTCATCATTTAGCCTTCCCAATGATTGGGTTAACCCCGCTATGGATCAACAAAACCAGCAGGAAAACAGCGTCTACGTCCATGAGATCCACACTGTCCAAGCAAAGACCTAAGCTTCGCGCCACACACGCATCTGGATAAAGATGCCAGACTCATACTCACTGGAACTGCATAGATTGAATATACTTGATATTTACTGTTTACAGCAATAGAATGTGATTGAATGTAATTCACGTAACATAACATGTGTCTACCTGAGGAATCATGATCGTGTGTGCAATTCTTGAAGCTTTTTTGCTCTAATCCGTCACGAAAACGGACCCTACGGCCCTACCAAGGAACCAGGATGGGCATAGATGCCGACACCAATCCCTGCGTCACGTAGAAGCCCACGTGTGCGTAATAGAAGGTGAGCCTTGGGTGCCATTTCTGCAGTGCTTGTCTTGCCGCATCAACGACTGTGTTGTTCTTTGGTGACACTACCTGGAGGAATTCTTGAACAAAATAAGAGCAGCATGTATACATATATTACATATTTTTCTATTGTGAATCTATAAAATCCTATAAAAAACTATAAATATATATATATATTAATATTAATGTGATATTATATATAATGAAGATTTGCGCAGATCTACCTTAAACTGAATTTGGAAGAGAACTCAGACACTGCCCGAAATCCGAAGCAGAGTTCATCATAGGGCCGCAGACATCCAACCGAGGGACCCAGGGACCCATCCAGGTACCATGCTGGGTGTCCCTTCACAAAACCTTCAATATACTCCAAAATACCGCAAAATACTACAATGCTGCTGAATTCTGCAATCAATGAAATATCTTGATGATATTTATGGAGTAAACCCAGTAGATTGTCAACCCTATCATTCCTTCATCTTAGTTTGGGGTCTGAAAATGCAGTGACCCAGAATTCCAGTTCAGTCAGGAAGATCATCCAGATTCCTTCACCACAAATTCACTGCCATTGGATAAAAAACATGAGAAAACATGTCCATATCAAGTGCTTTCCAACTACATTACCACACTATATGACTATATGACTATATCCCCATTAAACATGTTCGCTGCAACCCTGACGTTGCGCCGCGTCTGACTTCAAGTGGTTATGAAGATAAAGTTGATGTTATTATCAAACAAAATATCGTTCACAGGGGGTGAAGAATTTTGATCCCTTATGAAGCTAACGTTGATGTTATTACCCCAATCAAATATTGTTCACAGGCGGTGGCGAATTTCGATCCCTCATGAAGATAAAGTTGATGTTATTACCCCAACCAAGAAATTGTTCATAGGGGGTGGCGAATTTTGATCCCTTATGAAGATAACGTTGATGTTATTACCCCAATCAAATATTGTTCACAGGCGAATTTTGATCCCTCATGAAGATAAAGTTGATGTTATTACAAATTGTTCATGGGGGGTGGCGAATTTTGATCCCTCATGAAGATAAAGTTGATGTTATTACCCCAACCAAGAAATTGTTCATAGGGGGTGGCGAATTTTGATCCCTTATGAAGATAACGTTGATGTTATTACCCCAATCAAATATTGTTCACAGGCGGTGGCGAATTTTGATCCCTCATGAAGATAAAGTTGATGTTATTACAAATTGTTCATGGGGGGGTGGCGAATCTTGATCCCTCATGAAGATATAGTTGGTGTTATTACCCCAACCAACAAATTGTTCAGAGGGGGTGGCGAATTTTGACCCCTCATGAAGATAAAGTTGATGTTATTACCCCAGTCAACATATTGTTCAGAGTGCGTGGCGATTTTTAATGTGATGATGATCATGATGTGCTGATGTTCTGATGTGCTGATGTGCTGATGTGCTGATGTGCTGATGTGATGATGTGATGATGTGATGATGATGATGATGATGATGATGATGATGATGATGATCATGATGATCATGACGATTGTAAGTGTGGAGCAACGTCCGGGTTGGGGCGAACATGTTTGACCATGATACAGATCATGTTTCTTTAAACAGGATCAGTATATCTTCAGTCCAGCACCAAGCCACGCTTCAGGCAGATGCAAAAGCTGCCCCAAACGGAACATCTGCCGTGTTAAAATCTGCTCCCCTGCGCCGCTGGACAACCTGCAGGCTGCTTCATGGCCCCATTTTTTTTCGAGGGAGACGAGGTAAACAGAGGTAAAAATGAAACTGGGTAGGTAAAATAAGGTAAAATGACCCATTTATGACTGTGATTCCCCATATTCACCTATACTCTGAAAAATATGGCTAATAGACCAACAACAATGGCACTCGATTGTAGCAGGACCCCAACACGAAAAAAATCCGGCTGTAAACTGCTGGTTCAACAATTGTTCTCAATTTCCCCCTACTGTTGGAAAATCACTCCCCACAAAATTGGACAAATTCCAGCCCAAAAAAAACATATGTCACCAATCTCCAAACCTCCAAGTTTTCATCCCAACCAAATTTCACCCCTTCGTCCACCAAGCAACTTTGAAAAGAAACCCAGCACCGTGTTGAAACCCAGGTCACGACCTTTGGCGACATGGAAATACTCGCAGTGTTTGATGCTGCGGCCTTGCCTGGGCGGTGCGCAACGGCGCCGAGGAAGCAATCAGTTCCCATTTGGGGATTTCCTAAGTCATGGGGGTACTCCCAAATCATCCAAGCATGGTGATGACCATCCCATTTTGGGAGACCATCTGAACATTAGATACCACCCATTTCCCGATTAAAATGGCTATCACTGGGGGATATCCCGTTGTTCAAACATCCAGTTGGAAGATAGATCGATAGATAGATGGATCGATAGACAAGACAAACACACAGACAGACAGATAGACAGATAGACAGACAAATAATCAAATAGACAGACAGATAGACAGACAAATAATCAAATAGACAGACAGATAGACAGACAGATAGGCAGACAGACAAATAGACGGACAGAGAGACAGATAGACAGATAGACAGATAGACGGATGGACGGATGGACGGATGGACGGATGGACGGATGGATGGATGGATGGATAGACAGACAAACAAACAGACAGATAGATAGATAGATAGATAGATAGAAACAGAGAAAGAAATAAAGAAAGAGAGAGAGAGAGAGACTTAGAGCCTCAATCACCTGTCGGTCCATCAGTTCGCTCTGCCATCCATGAATCACAACAACCCACCTCTCCTATAGTTTCCTATCTTTGAAACTTCCGCCACCGCCTTGTGCGGTACTACTAGCAAACTGACTTTTATGTTTTTAGAGAGTTTTCCACATCTTCGGATATCTTTGGACCAACCCTTTATCCTTTTGCAATTTGATAAAACACACGAACCAATGTCAGGGGTCGGAAGAGAGAAATCGTGTGTTCAACGCCTACCCATCATGAGGCCATATGTCCATGAGAATCCACACAGCTGTTCAGGCCATGTGTCCCTTACAGCATCCCCAGTTTTGCCCATGGGCCTTTTCAGCACCCCCCAACAGCAGCCCCCACTTCCCCACTTCCGATCCGCGTTGCCCACGTAGGGTAAAATCCATCCCGGCAAAGATGTCCTCAGAGAGGTTGATGGTTTTGGTCGCTTTGGACACACCACCCTGCTGCATCATATACCTCAGCCATGAATGGAAAGCCGCTTTTAAAGGAAACATCGAGAACTCATGAAAAATCCAGGTCGGCTTCGCGTCCTTTTAAAGGAAACATCCGAACTGAGCCGATGATGTGCTGGATGTTACTTCTGCTTCTGCCGCAAAGAACGTGTAAACCTTTACAGTCAAGGTGAATATGCATCTGCTGAGTGACAGAAGTTCCTCTTGTTTACAAAAAAACAACTGACCCAAATGCACCAGGCATTCTGGGCATGTGGCCAACAGTTGAACCCCCCAAGATCTCCCTGAGAATAGACTCAAAAAGGCCGAGGAAAAAAACAAGTGAATTATCCTTCATTCATTACATATAATATATTATATTATAATATATATTATAATATATTATATCATAATATACTATATTATATTGATGTATATATATACTAATATATACTATATTATATTAATATATATTAATATATATATATATATTATTTATCATTCTATCCCTTATAAATGTTCACCACCCAGTGGCTGTTTGTTCATGATGTCCGGGTGTCCATAATGCATGCGCGCCCCCAGCACCGAGTAGGTGCGCTGCAGGATGGTACCGAAGGCCACCTCCGAGCCCGCCGCGAAGTCTCCGACCGAGCCGATGTCGCTGGTGATGTGTTCCTGGCAACGGGCCATGGCGGGTCCACGGGGGCCTGGGAGATTTCTTGGGAACAAGTTAGGTGACCCGATGGATTCAATATGGATAGTGACATGGATTAAATTGGATGAATGTGGACAATATATGAATATATGAATATATGAATATATAATTATATATAATTATATATATATATGAATATATATATATATATACACCTGGATAATCATCATGATTCCATATAAAAATATGGATTCATAATGATTAATATTAATATGGATCAAAAAATGGAAAGTTCATGGCCAGTGGATCGCCACATGGATCTTCCCTTAAAGCAACCCGGTGAGAGAATCCGACAGTTACTGGGGGATACTTTGAGATAGGGATGTTCATATGTTTCTGACAGTAAGTGTGAGATAACCAGCAAAGAAATTAGGGATTTATTATGGGAAATTCGTGGATAACATGGTCTCAGCAAATGACAATAATCCCTATACAAAATAATTGCAATTGGTTGGATGATTCCCCAGAGGTTTTACTAGGAGGATCTGTTCATTATTATGGCTAACACCACATGGTAAACCCACATATTAATTACCAGAAATCAGAATATCTAAATCAAACCTTGAAATGGACATAAGTCATTTTTAGATTTTTTAGATGATCTACCCTACCTCTTGATTGCTGGAGGATACGTTCATTATCTTGCCAGAAATGGACATGACCATTGGTATACCCAATTAGGAGGTTTGTGGCATTGGGTTTGCAATACCACATTCATACACCTCTGTCTGGTTCTTTTTGTTGGTATTTGCATTTTTGGGACACATGTTTTGATTCTGTTGGGTCAGAGGTGGCAACCCGCCTGGTGGTTTGGCCATCAAAATTTGATCAAATCCCACGAAGCTGAACCTCAATAAAATACCAAATACCCTAAATATCATGAAATATGGTGGTTTGCTAAAATAGGGGCGTGATACGGGTCACAAACCGCAGGCGCACACAACGCACATAATCAAATTGAGCGATCCTGTTCTGAATTCTTTGACACTGGGACCATGGCTCCTCCTTCACCTGTCTTCACGGGTTTTTCTTGTCTTAAGCAGCTTTGCCCTCTTTCATACCATTCTGGCAACTTGCGCATCCCACACCAGCATGTCATACATGCTCTTCAGTGGCTGATTTGGTGCAAGTAGCAGGCACCAACAGTTACAGCATTGGAATCACAACTTGGAACAAAACTACTTGGATATGATTCAGGGATGATCTTCCAAGGACACTTTTCTTGCTCAAGAATCTGCGAGGCATTTTGTATTTTTAGGATTTTAGGGGCTGAAATTGTGTACTAACTAAGGGGCCAAAATTTGGCACAGTTGCAGGAAACTGAAATGAACCATTTGAATCCATACCATTTCAATGATCCCATATCTAATTGTATCTAATCTGGTTGGTTATGAAAGTCAGTTGGGATGATGACATTCCCAATAATTATATGGACAAATAAAAAAGTGTTCCAAATTCCAAACCACCAATCAGTAATTGTCTATTTCAACAACATACACTTCAAAACTCAATTAGCTCGCATAAACTCACACTTTCACAGAGTTTCCTCCTGAAAATCCCCAAATTCCAAGGGCCCGAGCTGCCGGCCCATCCGTTGCCCATCCGTTGCCGAGCTGCCGGCAGGCCGATGATCTGCTTGGCCGCTTCATCGCCGCGCTCCATGGTGCGGAACTCGCCCAGGACGCAGGGCAACATCAGCATCCTGGGCTTGACTCTGGGATATGGAAAAATATAGGCAACATATGGCAGTGTGTCAAAACCTTGTACCCCTGTAGTTCACATCAAAATAGCTGGTAAATGGATGTTCATCCCCCTAAAAATGGTATTAATAGGTATTGATCCATACCCATATGGGGAAAAATGGATGAACATGGATGAAAGTGGATAAAAATATGGTGAATATTGGTGAATTCGATCTGAACTCGGACTGCAGATTGCTGCATCTGGAGAGCTTCACCAGTGGTGAGCATGGTCAGTTGCACCAAGGAGCTGTTCGAAGTAGCCACCCTGATTTGCATCGATGCACTGGCTGAAGATGCCGCGCAAGAAGATGATGGCATGGTTCTGATTGTCCTTAAGAGGCCAAGGTGCCAACCTGCTGGTAGAGCCACCGCCCGAAAGGAGTCACTTGGGCATTAACATGGACGGAAATCAACAAATTGTATCCAGCTCGCAACTGGAAAATAGCACTTAAAAGTCGGCGTCCCAGACTTGTAGCAAACACCCTCTGCTTTTTGGCTTCAATTTCCATCCATTCCAAACTTGTAGTCTGATACAGAAATTGTAGCAAATTCATTGGGTATTTTCCATTGCTGTCCTCATTTATACCCAATTGAGCAGTATTTCAATGATACTATCAATTTTCGAAAAACCCGAAAATCATCTTATAAATCATCTATAAATTCCTCATTGATAGATGATGTTCATGGGATTTTCCCATTTATCGGTGCCCAAAAAGTCCAGGAATCTTCGATTCTTTGATCATCCCTCTGGGGATTTTCACCAAAGCCGGGCGGCGCTTTTGCCATCGCCCAGGATGGGATATCCCGGTAGCTCCACCCGATACTTGGCCTGCGATGAAGAAAAAACTGGGGAAGTTTAAGGGAAAGTAACATCCAAACGTACGTGATGTTTTTTATATAACATGATATAACTATATTAGATGAATGATTTTTAATCTAACATAATCTAACATAACATGAATGCTGCTACTCTGTATATGTGTATGTACCTAGGGAAAACCTTAGATTCAAATGTGGATATTCTCATGAGTGATGGTTCTATGGTAAATGCTGGATCACAACCTGGGATGGCATCTTTCAATATATTTCAGGCGACAACATGCGACAACCATGAATTATCAACATAATACGTGTTCATGTTTTTTATAAATGCAGGTTGCTGTTTCAACGATGTTTCACCCCCTGAATGTGAACGTCAGTTTGACAAAACATATGAAGACAACGTTAACTTGTAAATGATTTTCTAGATTGATCGGTGCTGTGTACCGCATGTACGGGTTTCCCCAACAGATAGTCCTCACGTTCCATCATTGTACCCAGGTATTTTCCACCATTTTCATCCATCTTCCAACCCCCAACCCCCGGTCCCCGGTTCCCGCGCCTTGCGCCGGCCGCCCGGCTCCTCGGCGCAGCGGCCGTCCACGAGGCAGCTGAAGAAGCGGCGCTTCTGACGCGGGTGGACGCGGTCCACCTCCGCGTGGATGTTCTTCTCCTGATCTCCATGCGACTCTGTGGAAGATATGGATATTAGATATAGGAGATATATCACATATGGAGATATAACATAGCTATATGGAAATGATATGTGGAACATATTGATATTATATCTGTGGAAGATATGGATATGATCTTTAATGTATGGTGATATAACATAGCTATATGTTGAAGATATTGATATTTTATGATCTTTAAACTGGTTGGTGGTTGACCTACCCCTCTGAAAAATATTGGAAATCACCATTTTCTATTGATATTGATATTGTGGGAAACTAACATAGCTATATTTAATGCACTTTAATATATACTTAATGTATGTTGATAAATACTTTAATGCTGATAGATTTAATGTATATTTGGTTGTAACCTAATCTCTGGTTGATATTTCATGTATATTGATATATCTCATGTATATCTGGCTGTAACCTGATATATGGTTGATATTTCATGTATATGGATATATTTCATGTATATGGATATATTTCATGTATATTCATGTATATGGATATATTTCATGTATATGGAAATATTTCATGTATATCTGGCTGTAACCTAATATCTGGTTGATATTTAATGTATATTGATATGTTTCATGTAAATCTGGTTGTAACCTAATATCTGGTTGATATTTAATGTATATCGATATATTTCATGTAAATCTGGTTTTAACCTAATATCTGGTTGATATTTAATGCATATCGATATATTTCATGTATATCTGGTTGTAACCTAATATCTGGTTGATATTTAAAGTTAATGTATATCGATATATTTCATGTATATCTGGTTGTAACCTAATATCTGGTTGATCTTGAATGTATATTGATGAATTCATGTATATCTGGTTGTAACCTAATCTCTGGTTGATATTTCATGTATATACTGTATATATGTATATTGATATATGTCATGTATATCTGGCTGTAACCTAATATCTGGTTGATATTTCATGTATATGGATATATTTCATGTATATCTGGTTGTAACCTAAAATCTTGTTAGATATTGATAGATTTAATGTATATCTGGTTGTAACCTAATATATGGTTGATATTTAATGTATCTTGATAGATTTAATGTATATCTGGTTGTACCCTAATATCTGGTTGATATTTAATGTATGTTGATATATTTCATTTATATCTGGTTGTAACCTCGTATATACTGAAGGTGGTTTCAAATGTTTGAATGTGGCTTCTAAGCTACAAGTATATGTAACCCATATAGCCACTAATCTAATTGAGGTAGAATATATGTTCATTACCCACTTGCGATGTTAGGATGCGCTCCCAAGAACTAAGGCAACTGGGAGGATGGAGAAGGTAGTTTTTTTTTGCCAAAGACATTGGGGATTTCACCACGCAAAATGGGGAGAGAATGTAAGGTGGGACTTACTTTTCTAACATGTTTTTTTCCTGATAGGGATTTCACCAATCAAAATGGGGATAGAATATGATAGAATCTCAATCCTGTCAAAGGTGTTTTTTATGGTTGATATGGATGGCATATACGGTGTATTTTTGCGAAATGGGGTGATTTTTGAATATTGACCAACTAACACTTAACAATGATGAACCGCAAACTATGGACTTTGGGATTGGGGCTTTGTTCCCAGGAAAAACAGTGGTTTTCGCCAGCAAAAATAGGCTTTTATTCGACTCCACCAATTTGGGTCACCAAAAGAAAGGGTACGTACGCAGAATGTAAATATTGAGATGATATGCGCACTTAATATGGACACCTAAAATTAATTTCATTCTCATGTGACTCATGTGCTTTTTCAGGGTCACTCATGTGCTTTCCTCAGTGATGGATAAAACTGGGCTGCAGATCTGCTGGATGAATCCCTTAGCCCTGTGCCCTGTTAGAGGGATGGGATTTAATAAGCCAGAACTGACAAGCGTCACTAGCGTAAAACGGATTGTCATAGGTTCTCACTACGATGTCGCATACAGTATGGAAAAGGAAATACATGGCTGAGGAGACTATCATCCCAAATTTCGCCTAGACCATGGGTAAGATTGAATAGGTTAGAGTCAACCAAGTAGACACCTGCGCATGTATGATAATGTATGATATGTATTGATATGTATATTGTTTGCTCATCTATTCCACACATTTACGATACGCCCAAAAACGATATAATTCGTTTAGGTCCCACTTGAGTGGAAAGTGGTACTATGTAATACCATGTAATAACTAATGTTTATCAACGATTTCTGGTTGGTGGTTGACCTACCCCTCTGAAAAATGATGGAGTTCGTCAGTTGGGAGTATGACATTCCCAATATGATGGGAAAGTCAGTCATAAAATTCCATGGTTCCAGTCACCACCAAGCAGTCACGTTATAATATAGTTATAATGCTTAATCATATCCCCATTCTATTATTGTTTTTCTATGGTTTTTCGGTGACCCATAATTGGTAGTCACTAATGGATCGAATAGTCACAACATGGCCACGAATGGATCCGTCAGCGACCTTGAAGTCAATGAAGGCCACCTTCAAACTGCTCGGGAACTTGGAGAACCTGGGAACGATTTTTTAATCCATCGACGACAGCGGGGAATGGTGGTGACCCGTGAATTATGGCTATTCGTATATATATAATATATAATATAATATATATATAATATATAACATATATAACATATATAATATATATAATATATATAATATATATAATATATATAATATATATAATATATATAATATATAATATATATATATAATAATATATATAATATATATAATATATATAATATATATAATATATATAATATATATATAATATATAATATATATAATATATATATAATATATATATAATATATAATATATATATAATATATATAATATATATAATATATATAATATATAATATATATATAATATAATATATATATAATATATATAATATATATAATATATATAATATATATAATATATATAATATATATATATAATATATATATAATATATATAATATATATAATATATATATAATATATATATAATATATAATATATATATATAATATATAATATATATATATATATTGTATATAAATGGGTGATATCGGTGATATCTATAATTATAATTAATTACATATAATTCCTCTATATTATTATAGTATTGTGTTGATATTATAGAGTGATTATGCTGATCATACTTGATATACCAAGTTCATCTAAGTTCCATTGACTAATTGATTAGTATACCTAGTACCCAAATATCCAACGTGAGATGGTGATATTATGGTGAGATCATATTCCCTCCAGGTAATTACTGATGAAATGATGTATCAACTGGGAGACATCGACAATCCCTGCCCAGCGATGGCTTTCGCATGGTTTCGCGCAAAAATCAGTTGACACATGCCAACAGCCCATAGTACTACATAATCCTGCAAGTTCCTCATGATATGGATATTTATATATATATATATGGGTATCAAACATACATAAACATGCTCCATTTCAATCTTCCCAACACATTTCAATCAATGCTGATACGCAACATCTTGTTCACGTGGCCATAGTTCACCGCACCAGGGATGCCATACTGCTGCATGGAGACAATGCACGTGAAGCAGTCGTTGGGCGTCCAAACCTGGCTTCACTGGGGTAATGCACCAGCAATTTTGGAGTACCAAATCATACCACATTGGTAATATTAGGATAGATCATCATGACACAATAAATAAACAAGCTGAAACTAGGGATTTGATATGCCCAAAACATGCTCGGAAAATATTAGGATCGTCTAGGCCGAAAGGGATCGAAAGTGACACATGTGCAAGCGGAATATCTATCATACAAATTACAACACACCAACATGATTAGATTTGGCTTGAAGATGCTAACCAAGTGACATCCGCCAAAGCCGGCTTCTTCTCCCCTCTGACCCTGCCCACGCCCTGTACTTCCTCAGCTGTGATGCAAGTGCAGGGAGACCATATGAGACCATGCTAAAGGACCTCAAGCATATTCTTTTGTCAGGTCGTGTCAAGTCTTTACCCGGATTTTTTCTGGTTACCCGTGTTACCATTGGGCTGAGTCTTCCCAGGGGATGCTATTGGCATCCCAGCTTCGTAGTGGCATTGCAAGGCCGGGTGGTACAGCATCATCCCCGCCACCGTCCGGAACAAAGTCTGAAGTCTCATGGAAGACCAGCCACAGATCTTTTCCTCGTTACAGGCGCAAAGGAGAAGCTATGCCAGCTATATGGCTATGGATCAATACCTATTAATACCATTTTTAGTGGGATGAACATCCATTTACCAGCTATTTTGATGTGAACTACAGGGGTACAAGGTTTTGACACACTGCCATATCTAATATTATCTAATTATGCCTGTTGGGCAAGGACATCCTTCACACAGACGGCAAATCATGGCAACCTATCGCAAGTAATTAGCCATGCCGGTTTTGCTTTTGACATAAAGACATAACAAAGATGCTTAAAGAATCTTTGCGCTTATTAGCACCAGGTTTTCAGAGCTTCATACTGTTTTCCGAACCCTCTCCTTAAGTGCCTTGGAGTTTCTTCACAGAAGTGCCGAGTTGTGTTGAGACATGTTGAGACATCATGAGACCTAACAGACCCAACCTATATTACATATGATCTTCTTCCGCGAATCCAAACCACGTTTTCGAATGCCAAGTTGTAGTTGTGTAGATCAACAAGAATCCCAATAATCTCATTCATAGTTGATTTACCCATTAAAAATGGTGATTTTCCATAGTTCTTTGTAAACGTTTACCAGAGGAATCACCTCAGATGCAGTATTCTAACTCTGGATCTCAACTGATCATTTTCACCCCATGGGTGTTCTATCCCCTCAACCTGCAGCCGCCAAGATGCCCATTGCGCATCTGAATAGTCATCCCAGTTGCTGCCCGCCTGTAGGCCACCCATATTCTTAGCCTCGAAAAGCCACGTGACGTACGTTGCTGAACTGCCGGTCGGTATGTGCACATCCCGTGTAAGTCAGAATCATAGCTATTAGATGCCATTACAATATTACGGGCGTACAAAATCTGGCAGAAATGGTCCATTTTCAAGCACAAGCCCAATAGATCCCTATCCATCCCTATCCCATTCTATCCGACCCTGGTCCAACTCATGAAAATCGAAGAAGCCGTCCTTCTTTCTCAATGGCCTTGCCTTTCGATCATTCCCACTAGATCCACTAGGCTGTTGGAACAATGTTGGAACAATGTTGGAACCATGTTGATAATGTTGCAACTGCCAACTCTCGACCCTAGGATCCCTAGGCACCTGCATCCGTGCATCAAAGTTGTGCCATTCGTCCTGAAAGATGCAAAAAAAACATCGCGGATTGACCCGTCCTCTACTTTGCCTCAGGGATGTAAATCATGGCACTAGGCTTTTGACCCGTCCTCAAGAAGACGACCAGTGAATTTGACTACCCAATGATATTAGGATTTGTGGGTCAACGATTGCTTCGGATCCGCAGAAATAAAGCAAAGCTTCTGCAAGTGGTTCATATATTATACTAGTGTTGGTTCATGTTTGTCTAGACCATTGGTCATGGGACACATAAAAAAGGACAATTCATCATCACACCATTGCGCAGCACGACTCACGTCTAGTCATCCACAGCTCATCACCCCACCGCAGCCTCATAACGAGCTTTCAACCAGTCCATCAGGGGCACCTGTCGTCGTGGGGTGTACCCTTGAGGATGATCAAAGATTTGAAGAAACACACAACCGTTCATTCCCCAAAAAATGGCATGCTGTAAAATCTTCCTCAAATATATCCTTGCGAGCCCCATCTTTTCATGGGACCCCTGCCACATCCCCCGGCAAGCGCTGGGCGTACGATATCATCATCTCTTCCACCAAACAGTGAATCCTGGAGTCCCCCAAGACTCAGAGATGGGGGTAGGCCTCCAATTCTCCACTTTTTACTCTTATGCAGTTGCTTTTCTGAAAAATCTCCGACATTTAAAAAAAAACTGCATATTATATCTGATCTAGATACTCATTTCAACCGAGGTATGGTCAAAATTGACCATCAAAATCAACAATCAAGACATAGCAAAATTGTATGGACTTTTATAGATAAAATACTAGCAGAAAGAGTTGTGGGTCAATTTTTTTGAACCCAAAGTTGACACTCAAGTCTGTCCATCTGCAAATCCAACCAGAAATGACAGGAACATTTCCCCATGCGGCAGGTTGGATACTCAATGATACTCAACAATGACCAGCTCTTGGAAGGCCTTCTTCTCCAGGATGGTCTCTCCATAGTGAGGAATCAGTACCTGCCATGGGCCACTGGGATCCTTTTGGGCGCCGCGGCCGTCGCCGCGGTTGGGCGCACGGTGATGCCCGGGATGAACGGAGCTCTGAAGGGCTTGGGAATGGGCAAACCAAGGCCACGAGACAGAGCCAACAAGCGCCTGGCCGCGCGCGCGCGCAAGTACTTTCAAAGGGACTTCAACACCATCCAAAACATGGATAAATCATGGATAGATCTGGATAAATGATAAATCTATAGAATTATAAATCTATGATTGCAATTGTAGAATAATTGTAGAACTACAATCTGATGGATATGCACCACATGCTGCTGGGAGGCCATTGGACTTCTGGATTCTCGGGCCAATTGGGATCGCGGATCTCGGCGCTCTTCGCGCAGTGAGCTCAAGGTGAGCGGCTGTGCACAAGGCTCTACATAGTTGAAGTATATATATATTACATAATATATATATGTGATATTTATGTATGTAATTAATTGTAATTATATATATGTATGTATCAATCGATTTCACTCCAGGAAATTTGAACCGCTCGTATTTGGGTGTGGACATCTGATATGTTTCACTCAAGCAGGCGTCCGTAGACTGAGGACGGAACACAGCAGCCATAGTGGAGAAAAGCTCGCTGACAGATCCCCTGTTCTTGGAACATGTTGGGCACCTCGGGAATCGGCCAAGCTCTACACGGGATGTAAGGGGATGTAAGAAACATCTGAAAGTAACAAACCAGTCATACTATGCCAATTTAAGTGGTTAGTTATAAAAGTTCCATTTAATTGATTGATAACAAATAGTTCCATATTCGAAAGGTTCCAAATTTATTGACCAAGCATGTTGATTGGTCCAATTATTTCACTCCATATTTCTATAGAACGACACTGCATTGCGTATCAAGTGGCTGTGATCTTCACTTGCGCTCCAGACCTCAAGTAAGTGGCTTGGGCCAAAAAGAATTATTGGTTTAAACGCCGGGATTTAACAACAAACCAACATGATGCTATATATATATAATATGTATATATAATTATTAGGGATATAACCTGCCATTTTATGGGAATATCATTAGGATATTTCAAAGAATATTGATATAACTAATTCACCAAGAATATGATCTTGGGATGAATTTGCATGTGCAGTTCATGGATTATAAGAATCCCCAACAAACATCGGATAGTACGATTCGTACGAGTAGTTTTTCGCCCCAAAACTTTCATCAAACCACTGATATCTCCGTAGTTTGATAGTTAGGTCCCAATTAAAATCACTGCCATCATCAACATGGGTCATTAAATGTCCCCATTGAACATCACCCAATCATACCCAACCATTAGGTATATGGTCTATAATGGCTACTATAAGGTGATGTTCAATATTCCCAAAATGGGACAGTTACCAACCCCTGATCAACCAACACATATTTCTATGGGACATCAAATGTATGACCCCAACTTCCAAGGCTCCAACGAATCTTCCGCTGACCTGCGCGCGGCTTGGTGCAAACTTCCAAAGCGATCCATCTCGCGCTCGAAGATCTGAGGATTGAACATGTTTCTAGTGGGTGTAAATCGTGGTAAATCAATGGAAATCCATGGTAAACATAAACCCAATTCCAAACCATCCCCAGTTTGTCAAAACTCATTGTCTTCGCTTGGTTCCCGAAAATTGGGTATCGCGTGTATGGGGGGGCCCTATCGCTATCCATGGTTTTGCAAAAAGATGCAAGGAAGAGGAACGGAAGAGGAAAAGAAAAGGAAAGGGAAAAGGAAAAGGGAAACAGAAAAGAAAATCATTGGGAAGAGCAAAAGAAAAAGGAAATAAAGAGGAATGGAAAAGGAAAAGAAGAGGAAGGGAAGAGGAAAGGGAGAGAAAAGGAAAGGAGTAACGGCAAAGGAAGGGAAAAAGAGGAAAGAAAAAAGAATTTCGGATCTATTTTAGTGGTCTGGTCTGAGGCTACTTTTTGAACATTCATGGGTATCGCCGATAGGTATCGCGAACAGGGGTATCACGTTCCCCAAATGGATCCCACCTTCCAAGGATTTCGGGCATCGATTATTGTAAAAGGCATGTGATATGTTGCTATTGATTCATGTACAGTGGCAATCATAACAAACAAAACAAGGTGGTACCTGGTGTACCTGGTGTACTTACATGTACTTACACATAACTCACAGATCATAATCGTATCATTATCAACTGGTCGTAATATGTTGTAATATTTCAACATGAAACTGGATGAATCATAACCATTCCCTAACCTGAAAAAGTTCGGCCTTTCGGACTACTTTGGGGCCCAGTTATCCTGGATACTAAGAATCATTCCTGCGAAGTCGAAATTTGTGAGGTCGTTATAATCCATTGAGATTCATGTCCCAGGTTTTCCCCATTGTTTTCTCATTGGCCCCCCCATCTCTGTGGCGGTTTCAAACCTCCGTTGTTGAAACACCGTTGTTGAAACACCTCTTACCCTCTGGTAATTTAACATAGCTATGGAAAATCACCATGATTAATGGGAAAATCCACTATGAATGGTCATTTTCAATAGCTATGTTAAATTACCAGAGGGTAACACCTCTATTTTTGTCTCGGTAAAAATCCATCAAAACGGCCGTCGCCTCGTCATGGCTGCCCGGATGGACCGGGTCAGATTGGTCCATGCCGTGCCACGGCCGTCGCGGCTCGCGGAGAAGGACTGGCCGAGGCGGCGAGGCGGCGAGAAGCCGAGCCGTGGGGATGTCGCTGAGTTCACCAAGAATGGGGACATGGTGGGAATGGCCATGGCCTGGCCTGTGGTATAAGACTTTGCCATGGAAAAGAACGAAATTCAGCTGCAACATATGATTTTATCTATGAAGTGGTGATTTTGCATAGTTATGTGAAATGATCGAAGGTTATGTTTTTGGGATATGTTCTTAGATGTATGTGATCTACAATATTCAGTGATATTCTATGGGTACCAGTAAGATTGATTCGATATGTTTACATGTTTTTCATAGGGGAAACAGCCATGTTCAAGACATGATGTCAGTATCGCCAAGTAGCTCTGCGGCGATGCTAAACCCTGACCATCACCAGGATTGGTTGACCTTCCACTGTCTTCCATAACTTCAATTTTAGTGACTATGAAATGTAATCCCCTAATATTAAATACCATCCCTAGACTAGACCTTATGGTTTAGTACCGGATCTATGCCTATATGGGGGTGTTTCATAGGAAGGGATTTCTCTATCCACGTCCCCCGCGGCAATGAGCGATCCTGATCCGACATGAACTGGTACCCGATCTTGTCCTCGTATCTCATGTACCTCCGGACATGCCATGAAACAGATTCCCATGGATGATGGTTTCATCACCCCTACAGAAAAAAAGGGGTAGTACAAAGCCCCTATAGTCATCAACTAACAGTGGCTTACCCTCTGGTAATTTAACATAGCTATTGAAAATGGCCCATAGAAATAGTTGATTTACCTATTAAAGATGGTGATTTTCAATAGCTTTTTGTATGTTTACCAGAGGGTAAACATTGCTCACATGTTCATGTGACAAGTCCCTGGCATCAAATATCATCAAATCAAAGGAGCCAGCAGCCGGAAAAACCTCACTTCCACCCGAATCCATGACTGCTCGGCTTGCTTTCATCTTCCGAAGTGGTACGTGAAGGAACAGTCAGGCAAAAGATGGGAACATAAATAGAACTATATCGAAATTAATTGTAGCAAAGATCGTTGATCATTCCCTCAATCTTTCGGACAACCCACAGAACGCCAAGTCCTTTTGCCATGTCTTATTTGCTGTGGGGGAAGGTATAGTTTCCCCCCCATTTCAGGCGAACTTGGGGATGGTTTATGGTTTTAGGCCCACCACATCATGAACAATAGCGTGATCCTGTAGTAATATGCATCGCTTTTCCCTGACTTCATGGTTGAAACATGTCAAAATCTCTTCAAAAAAAAGTATATAGCACCATAATATATATCATAATCATCCAAGTTGAATTATCCCACTAAATATCCCACTAAATATCCCACTCATATCCACTAATAATATCCCATGATTTATGTTAAATTTCCAGGTTTTTTTTTCGCCCGGTGGGCACTCCAGGATTCGATCCCACACCAGCGGAAGCTCCCTCGCCATCTCGCGGCCCTGGTGTCCGCAGTGGATGTGGTAAATCATGGTCAATCACCAAAACAAAAACATATCCATTGATATTTTATGGTGATTTCATGGTGACGTTTTTTTCCGCATTCATATTTTATGGTGATTTTATGTTTGTTTTGTTTTTTTTTTTCCGCATTGATATTTTATATGATTTTATGGTGATGTTATGTGTGTTTTTTCGCATTGATATTTTATGGTGATTCTACCAATGTTAAATGTGATGTTTTAAAACACATCCATAAACATTTGAATCATTAGCAATGGTGATTTTATGGTTGGATTTGATGGATGTAAATCACCATTTTATGGATGGCAATGGTTAAATAATGGTGATTTGCAACATCCAATTTCAGTACATGGAAGACATGAGGACAAAAATATATACGTATTCTAAGAAGAATTGCGTATCGCTATTTTATGGTTGTTGTGTAGAAGACTGAACAGGTTTATTATTATTTGGTTCAAAATAGGAAATTGTAAATGTCCAAATGAGCAAACCTGGCAATGAACAGTCTATAATTTTTCGGTGGATGATTTGACAATTGCACTTTTCCATTGGAAGGTTTGTTTTAACATGGCCGCCAAGGCGCTTTCAAAGCCAAGAAAATCCAGGTTTCCATACGATTTTCAAAGGTTACACCCCCAAAACTTAACATAAAACTCCAAAATAAAGGTTTGGAAAATGATATTCCTATTGATCATGGCCATTTGCGGGTCTCCATGTTGAAGTTAGGGGCTCTATGATTTTATATTTTGGCCAACTGGGGTCTCCATTGAGAAGCAGCTGCCAAAGATAAGCCATTCCTCGGCCCCAATCACCCACCATTCAGATCCGTTTGATTTTTTTCAGCCAAACATTTATTGCTTTGGATGATTCTTCCCACTTTCGCCACAACTCCCTCTGACAATTAACTCCCAAACCTGACAACTGTTGCGAAAGCTCCTGCTATGATAGCCTCTGGAAAATCAAACATGCCTTGCTGGACAATTCCCCACTTATCGTTGATTTTCCCAATTATCCATGCCTCTTATATAGATTTATATAGGGGATTCCACGAAAAACCCGAGGCACAAGCGATGTGCCGACCATTCCCAGCTGGCCATGTTTGATCACACCGGAGGGTGGTCCACTGCCCAGCCTGAACGGCGCTCTTCACAAAGCAAAAGACCTGCTCCGATGTGGATGACACTGAAGACGCTGGTGACCCTCTGGTGACCCTCTGGTGATTTAACAGTTTGCTATGGAAAATCCTGATTTTTGGTAGGTTTGTAATAGTTTATAACCCCCATTAACTGTAGATACCCTCTGGTTATTTGTTACATAGCTATGGTATATAGTATAGATGGGCCCTTTGTAGATGATAAACATGATGACTTACCATTTGTTAGACATGGTGATTTTCCAGTTCGGTACTTTAAATTATCAGAGGGTAAACCTTGCTAAAGATGTGGTTAAACGGTTAAACCAACAACAGGTGGGATGTATCATCAAATTTCATCAACAAGAATGCAGATTTGATAATTACTTGAAACTGATGGCAAAGTCCCATCAAAACAACTGGGGTTATGACCATGGTCACTTTGTCAGAACCTCTGAAGTTCTGAATTGTTGGTGCATTCTCTGGGTAGATCATGAAATGGCTGTGGGTCATTTCACCCTGGTACCCAGGCTATCAATTTATAGCTGGTATAGCTGGATGTTCATCACCCCCCCCAATCCATTTTGATGCATGGAACATGAATGATAGGCTGATAGGTTGAAAAAGCCATCGCCATGAAAATCACCCAGTCGGATATTTTTGGGGAATCCAAGGGCATTTCAGGACTTGCCCCAAAGGAAAAAAATGGTCTCAACTGCCTAGTTGGACTACATGAAATATTCACGGGATGACTACAGAAACTTTGTTGTTCCGACCTAGGATACCTAGGTACTTGATTCCAATGCTCACATGGTCACATGGTGATGTCATCTTGCTGTCGAATCAAATTTATGTGTTCTTCCGTCACAATACCCAAACCTGCCACAATAGGCTAGTTACAGCAAATACTATATAATCAGGAAACACATACTTAAGCAGTTCAGAATGCCAACGATATGGGATGAAAGCTCCCCTTTCAACATACCCCAACCACTTCAACTACAACCATACCTTTACTCTTGTTCAAACAAAACTGAACCTTCGAGAGTGTTAAAGCAGCTCTACTTGTAGCTGCATTCTTACTTCATGTCAAGTTTAAACAGTGACAAGAACCTCTTCTGCTAATTTGGAACGCACATGAACGCACTATTTATTTCACATCACCATAGTCCCCACCAATCATAGCAACCTCCAATCCAAGATAGAAAAGCGAGGTGTAATCCCAAGATGGCATTAAAAATGGCATAAAATACAATTGCATACAATATCATACAATTGCATAATCTAGTGTGATTGTATATCAATGGAATTATGCATCATGTAATCCAAACATGGCATATCATTGAATTACATGGTTTGGGGGTTGATGTATCATGATGTATCCATCTAGATCCGTGAATCCCTATGCTTCGCCGGCTTCGCCTTCTCACTCATTCGCTCAGGGATTTTGGCCACTGCATCCTGCACTTCGGAAAATACCACAGCTTTGTTGTCAGCGACTGAATCAAAGTTGCTTTGTGGATTCATGATGATTTATGATGATTTATGATTTATGTACCACTGAATCAATTTCGTCACACTGAAAGAACTCATCCATGCTGCTCCCGGATAAATCGGGTGGACCCCCACTGAGCTTACCTTCACTTGAGTGCTCTGTGCTCAAGATTACATCCGCTGACATTCGACAACCTTTGTATACATGTGTACTGCTGTGTATCCGGACTGTATAAAGTCGACCAAAGCCTGTCCTCGAAGCAAAAGGTGAAAACCTCACACCTAACAGTCACAGGATGTCACAGGTGATTGGTGATGGGGCAAAAGTCAAAAATGTCAAAAACAAAACATGTACAGCGAACCCTGACCTCGCAGCTTCGCTTTCTGAATTTCCAGCTGTGCTCCTTGATATGCGTATGTTTACCAGCACATGTTGGTATCCTGCAAGCTCCGCAAGCTCCGAGCTCCCAAACGAGCGTTGGACAAAGGCCGTGGAGACACCAAGGAAGGTGCAGCCCAGGGTAAACCACATCCTTGGCCATGGAAGTATCATGGAGATACTAAGTCTGGCCAACAAAACTTGGAATTCAAAAAGAAAAATCCACACAACTCCAACCATGGGTTTTTATATGTTTTTATAAGCATCAAGAATTGGACTTTGACCCACCAGAATTGGAGTTGACCTGTAAAGAGGCCATCTGAACTTTTGAACCACTGTCAATCCATCGATTGAAGTCTTCAGGGCAGTTCATTTAAGGTATCTGCGATAATTTTTGGGTCCCCCAAAAAATATCGGCGTCTTCGAAGTTCGGTCCAAAATGTCTTTGAATTTGAATGGAAAAATGTCGGATCTGTTCACATGTCTGATGTCAGAATTTGATCCCCGGTCTGGATCCATGGTGACTGTGAGCCGCACCCAGTATCAGCGCAAAAGAGAAAGAAGGTGGTAAACCACCTGGCCACATGATGGAACACCTTGAAGCAATGGAGCGTGGTCATCGTGATCTCGAGCCATCTCCTGCATGTCTTTAATTCTACAACCTCATATATACGTGCACATATTGTGCCTCTAGATGTCTCTAGAGGATGCCGGCATACCATATCAATAGGTTTAATATCATTGTTTAACATGATTCATGCCTACATGATATGTAACAAAGAACAACTGGGACACCTTGGAACATCCCATATCATCCCATTTTCCGAAGATCTGCGACCGGGTCACAGCAGGGCCCATTCCAAGACGTCTTGGCCCCAGTCTGTGCCTCGGGCGACCAGCGACATGCCCAGCTTCATCTGGATCCAAGTTTTGCGTGCCCCATTCCCACTTCTTTGTCGTCCCCTTCCCATAGTCCCAGTTTCAGTTTCACTGGGATTTTTGGATGGGAAATTGAGGCCTCAGCTCGTCCAGGAGTATTGCATCTCGGTGACACTTTGCTGTCCAACCATGATGATCTGCAGATCTTGGTGCCTGGTTCAGCAATGGCAAGGTCAATTTTGGTCCAAAAATCATTGCGCTAAGATTCTTGGTAAGATCTCAGATGATCTCAGATGATCTCAGATGATCTCAGATGATCTCAGATGATCTCAGATTGAGGAGCTGACATCAACTTGTAGACAGAATTGAAGATTGCGAAGCCTTGACGGCAACTTTTTTATCTCTGAACTCACTGGACGATGGGATCTTGCAGCGTTGAATCCGTCGCTGATTTGTGTGTGTTGGTTAACCTCATAGGGCGGGTTTTCCGTGACCTGAGCATTGTGATAAAATCCATATTTTTTTCCAAGAATTTGATGTGAAGCATACCCAATATGTTGATACTAAGATATACTAAGTTGCTATTCCAAAACCTGAAAAACCTTTGTGTTTTCTCAAGATCATTGGGTCAACCACATTGGTCAAACCATGTTAAAGCCACTGAGTCGCAAACCCACCAACCACTTCACAGCAAAGACCTGGCGCAATCTTCAGCATCGCAGCATCTTGTTAACGTTACACCTAATGTCAACCCTGGATGAATAAAACCCCTCGGTTGTTTAATTGAAAGGGTATCATGTAAGTATTAGATGAAATGACTATTGGGAGGAATACCTTCATTTATCCGGGGTTGACATTATACATTATGTACCCCAGTTGCTGACCATTCAAGATCATTCGAGATACAGTATTCAAGCATTGCTGGAGTCATTCGGCAAACATGGTTTCACATGTCTCCTTTGATCGAAGGATGCCGAAGAATACCGTAGGTAGCCCATGACCCTCTCCCAACGGCCCTGGCCATAAACCAAAAGATGTAGCGCACGATCAGCAGAACTGGGCAGGGTCAGTGGTCGACTTGGAAACAGAAAAAAAAGACTACGGATGACTGGCAAACCCGATGTCACAAACCTCCATGTTTGGAGGATTACCAATGCTTTTTTTCGGGCTTTCCATGGCTTTCCATGGCTTTCCATGGCTTTCCATGGCTTTCCATGGCTTTCCATTGCTTTCCATGGCTTTCCGACATTGTGGAGGTTCTCTGACAAACCGATTCACTTCTGAAAAGAGGACTGTCTGTCTGACACCATCGAATCTCAGGGTGGGTTTCGTACAGGGAGGTATCCATAGGTATCCAGCAGTGGACAAACGCTGAGATACCCCATGCATTCGGCTGTTTATGTCATCTATCCCATTATGATCATTATGTTTCATCATTTATATTCCAACTATATTCCATTAATCATACCCAAGGATATTCTCATAATACATGCACCATATCACCAGTATCATATCCCAGTAATCATATCCCACTATATCTCATGAGATGTCCAGTATATTACATACAAGAAATCAATATAAATCACTTGTACCAACCTCTGGTAAACTAACATAGCTATTGAAAATGGCCATCTATAGTGGATTTACCCATTAAAAATGATTAAAAATTGTGATTTTCCATAGCTATGTTAGTCATTACCAGAGGGTAATTAGCTGTTTTCTATGGCACAAAACCAGCCACCTGCGGTTTTTTTTTTCTTCGCTTTGTAGGGCCCCCTGGCAGGTCGGCGCCGGCGTTAGGGGAAAGAGCCGATCGTAGGTCCTGGCTCCGTGAAGCGGACAGGGTATCCTGTGGTACACTCACTCATTGGATTGGTTTAAGGGAAAATCTACAGGAAACCATGGTTTTTACCATAATATAGGGCTTTCCTGTAAATTTTCCCATCATCCAATTCTATGACTCACCTTGGACATGGAAAAGTTCTGCTTCTCCCTGGGAAATGATGAAAGATGAGACTGATGAACGTGATCTCCACATAAAGATGTTGTTTTTGCTCTGCATCTATTTGTTGGTTTACCTGGGGGCAAACAAACTTGCCAACCACTCCAACTAAGAATGTGCATTCAAAAATTGGGATGCCCTGAAGCCAATGGTTCATAATGGTTCTCCCAGGTTTTGCTCCCAGCTTATCCGCTTCCCTCCCACTACCTTGTAGCTGCTACCATGTAGTTTTGGCTGCCAGAAGGTACGTACAGAATCTCATTACCATCTTGACCAAAATGGGATGTTCATTACTGGCTGGTGGTTGAGCCACCCCTCTGAAAAAAATGAAAGTCAGATTGGATCATCATCCCAACTATTGGGGAAAATAAAAAAATGTTCCAAACCACCAACCAGATTAATATGTCATACAGACGAATTGATCCCACCAAAATCCCCCCATTTCAATGGGACCCCCCAATCTTCCACGGCCCCAAAAGGCTCCCATTTTCGCTCACAAGAAGTCCCCAGGTCGACATACTTGCTCCGTCCAAGCCGTGCGGCCGAACCAGGGGAACAGCAACTGTTGTGAAATTTCTTGGGTATGTTTGCTTGTGAACTTCTGCAGGTTGGAGGTCGCCACCAAACCTTTCTGGATGTTGTTGGCCTTCTGCAGCAGTTGGTTTACTTGGTCCAGTGGGGAGCCAACGTCTGGCGTTGTAGAAGATGGGCTACCCAGGAAGACGTGGACTGAGCTGGCATCTTGGGATGCAGAGGTGGCTGGGAGTGGAACCACTACATTCTGCAGTCGGTCACCTGTCATCAAGATGGATGTGGGTGGATCAAGTCTAGTTTTCGAAGTAAAAAACACAGAGTCAACTGACAAACATGACACTGAATCATACTGAATCCTTCAATATCTTTTGGATTCTTTTGGTATGTTCAAAGCTAATTTCATCTCAACAATACATTTGCCGCAGTGAAGCCCTGTTGCTTCTAATCTCCCAGGCCTTTACCGCCTTTACTCCACCAAAATCTCACCATTTCTCCGGCCTAAGAGTCGTTCCTCCACCAAATCAATCTTCTGATTCACTTGGTCCGCGATGCGATCCAGTTGGGGATCCACCTTGCTGTCGAAACGAGAATCCGCCAGCTTCAGATCTTCGTCCATCAACGGCACCGGCTCCACCGGCTCCGCTGGCTCCGGTGTCAAGTCTCCTAAATTACTGAGGAAAGAAATGAATTGCACAACAAAAATCAACAAAATATCAGTGGTTTCCTGTAGATATTTCTTTAGACCAAATCTGGGTTTGATCATTGGTTGATTCCTCAAATGCTTCAAAATGGTATCGACAACATCATTTGATTCTATTGTTGGATATGTTTGACTGATTACATAAACACCTTCAGTGAGATTCGTATTTACATGCATTTACAATCCAACACCTGCTTTGGCCAGACATTTACAGCATGATATGATATATATTCACACAACAATCAATTTGCAGAAGGGAACAATGGACAATGAACAAGTTTGACTCCCCTGCACCTTAAGAGCCCCTTGTGGTTTCAATTTGAGGGGCTAGGGCTAGGGGGTGTTGTTTGATGTTGTTTGTAGTATACCATCAACAAGCAACACAATGAGCGTGATTCGCAGTCTCAATAAATTGATAAATGGATATAAATGGACTATCATATATGATCATGCAGAATCAAAAGTAACTTTCAAGATACATTTGGGTTTAAGATTAGTTTCTCATGTTTTCAAACATCAATATTGTGGTTATTGCGCTTAAATAACTCATGTGACTTCACCCATGTATCCATCTCCTGCCATCTCATAGTCAGCCTCGGTCTCACCCTCTGGCGCCACTTCCGCGTCGGCTTCCGCGTCGGCTTCCGCGTCGGGTTCCGCGTCCGTCAGCGTCTTTGGCATCTTGGGCACTGCGAACTCGTGACCTCGGAAACTGCGGATGGGCGAGGAAACCTGAAGATTTACACACATCCAGCTGGAATACAATAATATGCACAATATTATGAAACGCTGTCTAAGTGCCAAACATTTTTGTGCAATCTTGTGTAATCTTCTTTATACAACTAGACGATATATATATAAATATATATATATAAATATATATGTATTCTTTTGAACAAAAAACTGTTGAAATCACCAACAATCACCACGACTGTGGTCCATCATCTTGCATGACCCGGGCACTATGAGTATCCCAACCTGGACAAGACAAGGAAAGCATCAGTGCTTGGTGACTTCAACAATGCAAACATCCAAAATTGAAACCACCAAGCATTAGCGCACCCAGTGACCACCATTGGATGCTTGGTGTTCCTCATGGTGTTCCTCATGGTGTTCTTCGTGTTTCTCCGGGTGCCCCTTCTCGGGCTCTTCAAAGCAGCTTGCGTGACGATGTGCCAGACGCGTCACGCTTGGCCCAAACGATGTGTGGCAAACGCCAAATCTCTGCAACGGAGAGATTGTTAGCGCTGTCCCAAAGGGACGCTTTGTGCACACCCATGATCGATGGAATATGATGGAATCACATCCACAATTCTGTCTTTGAGTAAGTGATTGAAAACCCATCTGGAGCAAGGTGGACAAAGTGCTGGAAGACCATAGGAACCCCAATCTTTTACAACAAAGGAGAAATGAAAAACACACTCATTTCAGGAAGGGCCGTACGCTCTTCTGGCTTGCTTTTGCTGGAGTTTGCTTCTGAGCAAAACGCCTTCATGCACATGTGATCCTCTCATGGGAAGGGCAAGCACACGCATGAGCAATGTGGGGTTGGCAAGCACGTCTAAACCCGGTTGGCAAGGAATTCCCAAATGCACTCTCACCCGCTGGACATGACTTGCCACCACGCTTCACCAAAGTCTAAATCTGCTATTTGCAGTGGGCACAACATGCGGAAATCTTACAACTTGCTCCACGCAGGGCGAAGCCCATCACACCATCTAAAACCTTCCCGCACCTGTCTGAGAAGAAGAGGTGCGCAATAAAGCCAAGGACCTACAAAGCAACACTCATCCAGTCATCGAGGGCAGGCCTCTGCCATTTATGTGGCTGTTGAGCCCCATTTACCCAAATTTCTCGTGGTGGAATATGGTGGAAGACCACATTCCAAAGCTTCGAATCTGCCACCAGGGGCACCACCAGGGGCACCACCAGGGGCACCACCATCCCCCATCCAACTGATACCTTCCCCCTTTAATAAAACACTACTTGGGGCTGCAGGGCTGATTCTTGCGGATACCACCTTAAGGTAATCACGCCCATAGGATATGACCCCAACTATGCTCTTTTTGACACACAAAAAAAAGAGGGACATATCATGATTGATCATATTTTCATATGCATTTTCCCTATGAAAATGGGGTATACCGTATACCCTTATTAGATCGAGATGGACCGTATGTTATCGTAGAACTGCACCCCAGCAGTCGAATAAATCTGAGCCAATTGACCGACAGCACGGTATGAGCTGCCAAGACCTCGGCTGCAATGAGGGCTTGGCACCCCAATGGCGTTTCATAGGGGAAATGGTGATAGACTATCATCTAATTCAATTTTGGTGACACACTTTTCGGCATCTTAATCATGGGGTTGCGATTCATGGGGGTAAATGTTGATAAAGCATTGTATGGTTCATGGGACCCGATTTTCAGACAATCCATGACAAAACCACAGTTGAAATGCTGGTGAAAAAACATGCTTTGAGATACTATGGTTACGTCTGGTTACATATGGTTACAGGATGTTACAGGAATACATTTGTTCAACGACCTTCTTTGCCAATATTCTATTGAAAGGCACAAACTGGGGAGGCAACACAGCTCACAAGCAGGATTCCCCTCAGGGGATGAGGTCATCCCGAAGAGTGCTTTCCACTTCAGCCATCTTCAGCCCATTCATTGAGTGTGGCACCAGGCCAATCTCCAGACCTGCCTTCTTTGAGATCTTCTCCCCCTGCGCGGATGTTCGATTGAAATAGGTGGGTTGGAGGAAACCTCTTTACTTAGGGCCACTCAGGGTCGATTTTCGCAACAACAACAACAACAGGCCATCTTGGTGGATTGTGTTCCACCAAAACTGGGATGTGTTTCAAGGAGGCAAACTCCCAACGCCACGAAGACAGGTGTACTGTTTTAAGCAGCTGTAATTGTCAGCTTCACTAAAGTCTCCAAAGCCTCTTGTGCCAGGTTCAGTTTGTGAAATCACTGAATCACCATCTTGGAAGTAAACCCTCGGAATCATCATCGGGAATCACTAAGCTCGTATAGCAGGCATGGCCGCCAAAAAATGGTCCTTCCAAACTGAAAAGTGGCCCCAACTCATCACTTCACAGTGTCCCAAACAGGTTCCCAAAATTTCTCCAGCATCAAGATTTTGTGGGGAAGCAGGTTGTTCTCAACCCCATCCCCCAAAAAAAAACTGGCTTTAGACCAAAAACATTGGCTGAAAAAGGACTAGAGATAAATAATGAACCTTTGAAACCAAGCAGCGGCAAACAAGTTGAATGTGGCTAAAACCCAATAATACTCTATCCCCCATGTTACCATAGCTGGATGGTCAGAAAAGCCTTGAGCTCAATGTAGCGCAGCAAGGCGTAGGTGAAGAGTGGCCTGGTGACACCAATCGTTGCCATCCAATACACCGAGCAAATTTTCTTACTGCACAATGTATAGCATTTATGTAGAATGTACCATCTGGTTATTTAACATAGCCATGGAAAATCACCATTTTTAATAGGTAAACCATCTATAAATGGGCCATTTCCCATGGCTATGTTAAATAACCAGAGGGTATAGCATTTATGTAGAATGTAAAGACTCTATTGCCTGAGAACTATGATAATTATGATTCATTGTAAGAATGCTCTTACCGAGCAATTCACTGTTCCTGCGTTAATGTTGAGTCCATGTTGTAAGGATTATGCACCAGCTGATGCAAGCTACAATTCCGAGAAGTCAACAAAGTCATCTTCAAAGTATTTCAAAGTACTGTAGTAGATGTCATTACATACTTTATGCAGTTGTTTCTAATACTATATATTTACTCTATTATATATCTATTATACATAATATAATATAATATAATATCTATATATATGTATTGTACATATATCAGTATATATAATTCATATGTATGTATATATATACACATAACATCCACCATCTGCCGACTACTGCCCCTGGACCCAAATGAACCAGGTCCCCCGGGCGAAGCCCAAAGCAGCGAGCGGCCCAGACCTTTTTAAGTTGGTTTCATGATTTGACCAGCGAAATAACTAGCATTAACCATGGCGGTTAGTGGTTAAAATAGTGGTTTAAATAATGGTTTAAAAAGGGTTAATATTGTGGTTGATAACAATGGTTAATAGATGTTAATAGTAGTTATTAGTAATATAATGGTTACCTTTGCCCAAAAATAGGTTGGGAAGGATTTCACCAGCAAAACTGCTAAAGATCCTCTCAAAGATTCTCACCATTTTTCGGACAAACCAGTTTTTCAAACTTGATACTTATGTGGTGTTGTTCTTCATTAACTATAGTCATAATATAGAATTGCACACATCAAAGTGTTTGCGAGATATTGCAGCCTCGTCTCAACACATATTCATGACCAACATCTCTCATGCATCATTCACAATCACACTCACAAGCCCACATATATCAAACATCCTCTGCGACAGGAGGTAACAGATTGAAATCAAATGGGTTTGTCTTAAAATGGTGGTATATCCCCAACATTGCCTTTGAATAGGACAAACAATCGTTCCAAACCATCAATTTGTTGGGTGTTTTTCCCTATTTAAACCATCAAATGTTGGGCTTTTCCCTTCAATTCTCAGACATGATAACAAATTTCATCAAATTTCTCTATGAAATGATATTAAATTGCTATTTCTCCCAACATCCTACCAAATTCTTGTTGTGTACCTTAACGTACCGTACCAGACACCCCCACCCATGGCCCCAAAAGGCAGGTCCGAGGCAGCCACCGGCCAGCACGCAGCCAGGCCCATAGATCCTGACTCAACTTCACCCAATACCCTCTGGTAATTTGTTACATAGCTATTGAAAATGGCAATTTATAGTTGAATTATCCATAAAAAAAAAAACATGTGATTTTCCATAGTTATGTTAGTTTATACCAGAGGGTAGAATTTTTGGGATCCAATTTATGGTTACCCTCTGGTAAATTAACAGTTCGACCCTGGCAGTTGTCGGGGTCTATGTAGACTAGTGAAACCATGAAAAATTGGTGATTTTCAGGGTCTATGGTTATTTCCCAGTTGGTAGATTTCACCCAATATTTCACCAACATATAGCCATCAAACCGTATATATATATACCCCTTTGGTGGTTGAGCCACCCCTCTGAAAAATATGAAAGTCAGTTGGGATTATGACATTCCCAATATATGGAAAAATAAAATTCATGTTCCAAACCAACAACCAGTATATGGAGGTTTCCTTAAATGGAGCATCCCCAAGTCACCATGGTATTCAATACCTAGATTTGTCATCCACGACTTGGATGATTTGGGTATTCCCGCATGGGTTTGTATGATAAACTCATGTTCCCTCAGGCCATTTATGGGTATCCCTCATTTTCAATCACACCCATATATGTAATTCGTGGGAAAACCATCCTATATTTATGGGCAAAATCTGAATGTCCTTCCTAAACTGAGAACTGAACAAAACCATCATTTTAATGGGTTTAGAAGAATTTCGCCTATTCTAAGCATCATCGCCTGGCAACGGGTCGATTTCTGCTTCCCCGCCTCCGACAAATAGTGGAGCCCGTAGTGTGATACCGTGCGAAGCCCCAAATGATCGCGTGCATTGGCCTTACCAGGTCGCGCCAGCTGTGTGAAGCTACCCTCGAGCAATCCAAGCCATCAATAGAACATAATTACCCCATTTATAGGTGATGTTCTCATCAAAGCTCCCCTCTGTGAATGATGTTCCCCTTGCAACTTGCAACTCCCATTTATGGAAGGATTGGGCTAGTGCGATCTTTACCACACCGAAGGTCACATATTGCTACCCAAACCTCCTGGAACCAGATTTCACCTGGGCCGTTAAAAACACCCCTATCCCACCCCACTATACTGGTTGGTTGATAGAGATTCAATGGATGATGATAATCCCCAACAAACCAGGTAGTATAATCCCCTGTACTAGCCAATGACCAATCAACAATGATATTTCAAATAATTTTAATGGCTCACGTGGCCTACCAGGTCTACCAGTCTGCAGTGGATCGCTAAGGACTGGACACTAACAGCCCAATGGCCGCCAGTCTCGTTGGGAAAGTATTCCCCAACAAAGCTACCTGGCAGCTTTCGAGAGGTGGATCACAATGGGAGGTGCTTGGCTCTCTGTACATTGAAATATGTCATGCAAGAAATACATGGTGTAGCAGTGTAGCTATCATAAAAACTGTATATTAACTGTCAATACGTACATTCTATCATGAGATAGCTACTTATGACATAGCATACAAAATAGATTATACATGTCATGTTCATGTGTCTTCGATATTCTGATATGATTATGATATATTAAAGATATGTTTTTTATGTCACATGAAAGATACCCCTCGTGCCCTCGTGTACCGCAACAGGTCTGGCAACATCGCAACTGAAACAGGCCAGCCGTTCATGCCCATAGTCGATGTGGTCAGGGTTCTTAACCCTGGAGGGGCAGGGCATCTGTTGTCAGCTGTGACTTTCCATCAGCCCTCCAAAGTTCAATATAGGTTGGATCAACTGATCAATTCTTTAAAATGTTACCGGAGCATGCCCAAGTCTGGGAGAATTTCAAGAGATGACCAAAAAAAACAACACTATTGTGACCGTCACGCGAGCAGCGAAACCATCCTGGATTTGAGAAATTCATCGTAATTCCATACCCCATATCATTATCAGGGTGGTTATATTGAAGAAGTGCTCAATCTGCATCTTGATGGACTCTCCTACCACTTGTAGGATTCTTTGATCCCAATGTCTTAAAATGTCTAAACCCTAAAGTTCTGACAACTTCTAACCTGGTTGGTGGTATACCTACCCCTCTGAAAAATATGAAAGTCGCTTGGTCAGTTGGGATGATGACATTCCCAACTGAATGGAAAGTCATAAAATTCCATGGTTCCAACCACCAACCAGTGTTTGTTGGTTTATAAACCATTATAATCCCCATTAACTATAGTTATATCTACCATAAACCATAGTTAATCCACTATTTATAGGGAAAGTTCAAACTTCCATCTCAACATAGAGATGTTGGAGGCACATCCCCCGCGACGCTGAGCGGCGCCAAAGTGAGACCAAGGGCAAAGAGCAATCCGTGCCTGGCGTCCACGCGATACCACGATATACCACGTGTGCGTGTAGAAATTCTGTGTAATGTGCATATAGGGGGTCCATGGGACATGCCCATCGCATGACAGTGCGAGAGTACGGGCAATGTGCAGGTCCCGACTTTGCTTCCTAGCCTGCAACAGACAGAATTCCGTGCCTGGCCGCAGTTCACGCTTCGTTGTGCCATGTGGAAAATGGGGGGTCCTAATGTAGGGGTACACCACAGTCATCCATTAAACACATTGGGTGTTCCATTCTAAACCATCCAGCTACTGTTCCCCACCTGCCAGGTGAGGGTCTCTAGAATTTATCCGAGTTGCTTTCTCCTCGTACTTCTCCTTCTTCATAGAATGCCAGAAAGAATGTCAGCATGTATGCTAGAAAGTATGTCAGAATTAGATGCCAGATAGAATGCCAGAAAGAATGTCAGAGTGCCCGAAAGAATGTCAGAATATGTATATACTGCATATATATATGTATGTGTATATATACACACTATACTGTACAACATATTATATATTTACTTCCAGATTTGTCAGAAACTACCCTCTGGTAAACGTTTACATAACTATGGAAAATCACAATCCGTGCCAGGATGACACCAGCCACACTCGATGGGTTGATGCCAGGAAACCCCACATCGAGTGCACCTGGCCGTGCAACATGCGACTTTGACATCCCAAAAAACATGGGTAAAAGTAAGTACCATGATATGTAAGTATCTGTATATATATATATTTAATATATACATATATATTATGTATTAGTATATATAATAGTATAGTATAGTATAGTATAATATATATAATACTATATTATATGTATATGCAGATGTACATGTGTATGTCTATGTTGATTTGGTGTTGCAATCTTTTGATCCATCAAGGTCCATCAACTGATCTGTCCAGGCCCCGTGATGCCCCGTGCCTCGCGATGGGTTTTGGTGAAAAAGCGGTTCAAACTCGCTGCCCAGTCCTTAGGCGAAACCGATGTCCAATTTCTAAATTTCTATGGCCTGAAAAATTGATGAACACCATTGGACACCATTCTGTAGCAGGCATACTAAATCATGTTTGGGGTATTTGAGATCATGTATAGGCCATTCCGATCTGAGTTGAGGACGACCTGGTGAAGAGCGGCAAAGCGCTTCTTGTGTTCCAGGTCGAACAGGATGCTGCCATCCTGCCATATTCCATTGGATAAAGCAATTGGGTGGTTCACCAATGAAGAGCTGATTGGTGGTTGAGCCACCCATCTGAAACATAGTCATTGGGGATCATCATCCCAGATATGGTTGGAAAAGTCACAAACACTTGAGGCCACCAACCGATGAAGAATCTATTGGAGAGATGTTAAGAAATTGGTTGAAGGTTTTCTTCCGCACCCCCGTTCAGGGGAGAACGCAACTGTGATATCTAGGGTGTGACAAATCGTCAACATGCTCCATTTTCGGGACAATCCCCAGCATAGGTGTATCCCGTTCATTGTGCCCACTGAAAATAAGGGATGAAAAAGGATTGGTGCCAGTCCTCCATGAGAATAGATTCAGACATCCGCTTGGGGTCGCAGAAAAGCTCGTTCCAATCCTCGGCGGAGGTCCGCTTGCTGGATGTTGCCACATGGCTATGGGTTAAAATGCAGGTACCCTTCTGTTCACACCAAAAAAAAACATAAGTTTTGATCCTTACCCGCATCCCCGAAACTCGCAACAGCTGTTAAATCAACGCAGCGTTGAGCAGGGTGCATCATAGTTTGCCACATCCGGAGGTAGGAAGTTCTCGAAATCCTAACGGGACTAAAATCTGCACGCGAGTCCGACTCATAGATGGTCAGGTTGAGTATTGCCACAACTTGGAGGCCCTCATCCAAAACATACGTTATCATTATGTTATTATATATTTTTTTTTTTTAGATAGGTGTTGCGTACAAAAAATGTGCCGGAATCCCAAACGGCGTTTTTTTTTCTGACGCAGCCCGGAAATGTTGGACGTCCAAAAGTCCAAAAATGACGTTGCCAAAGAAAAGTGTTTGCGAGGGTTTTGGCTCACCATCCGTACGCTTGACTGACAAAGAGGTGATACGGTGATACCCTGAACAGTACAAAAATTACAAAACTCCTTTTCTCCACGGACTCTGCAAGTCCATGAACAGCAAAAATAGTGGACAAATATATAATTCTGTCATGGTTTGAGGAAATTACGCTGTAATGTTGGGAAATTACGCCGTACTGTTTGGGAGTTACAACGTCAACATTTGATGATTTTTCCATGGTGTTGTTCTTCTGGGAAAACAATCTTAAAAAAAACAAACACAGGTTCAATTCCATTTAATCCTGGTTGCTTAAAAAGAATTCCCAGTTCATGGATTATCATAAACCCTTATATATATCATTTATTTGTTTATCATATATTATATATATACGTATATATTTATATCATATCATATTATATCATATCATATCATATTAATTATATATTATATCATATTATATATCATATATTATATTATATTATATTATTATATATATTTTTTATATTATATAATCATATATATTTTATATTATATAATCATATATATTATATATTATATATTATATATTATATATTATATATATTGATATTGGGTAGTATGATCCCCTACAATCATCAATCAAATTCCATCAAGGTGACCCTATCAAACGTGGTGTTCCAGGTCACAACGACTCGCCTTGTGTAGGATCTTCTTGTCCTTCCCGTTGTCCGCAATGTCCACCTTTTCGTACCTGGCCAGAAAGGTACGAGGGACCCTTGGAAAAACACAGAAACTGACCCTTGAGATATTGACAAATGTTGATCAGTTCATAATAGTTCATGTATCAAATGGTACCCTCTGGTAATTTAACATAGCTATTGAAAATTGCTATTTATAGTGGATTTTCCCATTAAACATGGTGATTTTCCATAGTTATGTTAGTTTACCAGAGGGTATCTAATAGTTCATAATAGTTCATACTAGAGCATATATCAATCATTGATCACTTTTTTGTTGTTGGGGATTATTACAAGCCATACGGGAGAACTATTACCATCTGGTTATGACTAACATAGCCATGGAAAGATCCACCATTTTTGAGAAGGGTAAACCATCTATTTCTATGGGCCATCTATACCATGGCGAACTGTTAGTCATAACCAGAGGGTATCAATCATTGATCACATTAACTCTTGATCAAATGATATCCAGCAGTTGAAGAGTTCACCGTTGAGATGCCCGGCACCGGGCATCTCAAAAGCGCATCATCCGCAGCTGGAAACTTGGCAGCGGCACCACTCTTCAAAGACCACGTTGTAGATTGGCCGGATGACCTGTTGAAATCTGTTGAAATCTGTTGAAAATTTCTGGAAGAAATATCTGGATTAAGTATGATTACATAAGTATCCAATTATAAGTCATTAATATCATTAATTAAGTTACCAATGACCTTTGGCATTCTGGTGGTATTAAGCCATCCAGTTTGTGGGGTTATGTGGCATTTTTGTTGGCTGTATAAGCATTTGATATATTTGATTGGAGAAAACTCAAAGATTGGCATGATCATGTCACCATGATCTCCTAGTTCATGATTTCGACCGTTGGCTGGTATATCTCGATGTTCATTCTTGCATTCATCCGTGAAGCCCACAGGGTTTTATTCATCCTCGTATCCACAACCTCTGGTAATCCTCCTTTTCATGGTGATGTTCCAATTCGAAATGCCATGCAGTAAATCCACATATCAACAACAACTGCAGTCTGGTTTCCGCAGGAAAATGATCTGCACATTGCACATGGTGGATTTTCCATAGCTATGTTGATCTGCTGAAGGAACATGTTCCCATCTTTGTTGGTTAAATTCCTATAATTGCTAGAGTCATTTCCAGACTTGTTTACCCGATTATATCCCCAATTCATCGCCAGTTTGCTCAAGAGTAAGGGTTTGACTTATCATGACTTACCCTCTGGTAGTTCAACATAGACATGGCTATTGAACATGGCCATCTATATGTAGTTGATTTACCATGATTTACTATGATTTACCATGATTTACCATGATTTACCATGATTTACCAATTAAACATGATGGATAATGATGGTTTTTTTTCGATAGCTATGTTTTTACCAAAGCCTCTCCCAAAATCTGTCCATCACCCCTCAGATCCGGATCCGCACCTTCGACAGGAACTTGCCACTCTGGTAGGAGCCACCAGCAGCACTGTCAGGGGGGTTCAAATCACAACCGGTATGGCTTGTACTAATCCCCAATAACCCAAGTAATAGAAGTCCTCATAATAACTCAACAGGGGCATCTTTAATGGCTCACGTGTTGCAAAAAGGGTGCCTTGGTGTTTGTTGCTTCACATCCCCGTTTTGTTTCAGAGATATAATATCATGTGAGATAATATGAGATAATATGATAATATATATATATGATATGATATGATATACATATATGAGATACATCAAAAAACATGAAGTTGCACTTAGTTGCACTCTGGTCATCGAACCACGCTCGCTGGGAAAGTCACTTCTCTGTCATGGGAACATCATCTATTCATGATTCGGTAGACTTTTGCAGCTTTGCTCTTCCCAGCGTAAAATCCAGTTGTGGACATGTGAATCCCAAAAACCAAATGGTTTTTATCCAGCCCAGGCAAAAAGAACAATCCATCAGGAGGGAATTCGTCAATACAATCACATTTAAAGGGTTCGATACCATTTTTTGTTGGTTGAAATCCAATTCGTCTTGGCTGCACATTATATAATTTTTCTTGACTCAAAGTCATGGTGGTTGAATCCACTTTTTTCATATGTGACTTGAACGTTTCTGATCAAACTGCCATGCCCCCCAAATTGACAGTGCCAACTTGAGAGGAAACAGAACTAGTCTTCCAAAACCCAACTCATGGCAGGCTCTTCCTGTTGAAAATAGGCCAATTACACCATTCCCTCCCCTATAGTTGATCGACATTTTTCCCAGTGATAAACATGGCACAACAAAACATCCCCATGATATAATTGTGTTTCCCATCCATTACCATCCATTACAATCATGATTTCCATGTCTTTCCTCATTGTATCTCAGCTTTACCATCCTAGACCATCTATACCCCGTTTTGATCCATCCATTACCATCCATTACAATCATGATTTCCATGTCTTTCCTCATTGTATCTTAGCTTTACCATCCTATACCATCTATACCCCATTTTGATCCATTGTCATAAAATACATCCGTTGGCGCAAAGAGAATTTCCTCCCTTTCCCCCAGTAACGCCGCCCGCCTGGCGACTCCCCCATAGGGCATGGTGCCTTCCTCCGCTGCCAGGGCCAGCTCTGTGATGAAGTAGATCACCTGCCAGGATGCCAAAGATCGATAGGGAAAACCTTAACCGGTTTTTCCCATGTTTTTGTTACCATTAAAATCCATGAAATATGAGGGTATCCATGGGTATCCTCTAAATTGTCCCACCAATCCAATTATAGAAGGAATTTTAGGATGAATCGTGAATTTCCCCGAAAACTGGTGATCAATTGAAGCTGTCTGTTTCCCAAAATTGCGGGTTACCATACTTAGGAACAGAGAAGACTTGGAGACGATTTTAATGGCCAGCCAAGGTTGGGATCATTTGGGATCCAACCAAAGTTGAATTCCGCTCGATTGGTTCGTGTCATTGTGGTGAAAGCCATAGCAAAACATATCACACATCATTGGATTATCCACAATCTGCGCGGTACAACGGTACAACTTAAATAGTTGCTCTGGATAGATCTTCAGGATTCTTCCGGAATCTCCAACTTGGGTGGCTGGGTATACGTGGTCTGCTATACAAAAAAATATATTATCCGATTATCCAGAAACAGAGGAAACACATCGTTGTTTCTATCAGGGCACTGAAACAATCCACCCTTTCGAATTGATGTCTTACTAACATGCTCTCCCAATGCTCTCGCACCAGAACACAGGTGCAAGACCAACCATTATAAATTAAACACTTTTGAATGTCAACCATTCACTCGCCCGCATGGGCGTAAATTTAGGCAGAAATATTTCCACAGCGCCGTCGGACACCTCTGGCATGAAGCGAACGTTGCCACCTTCGCCCCAAACGCACCTGAGAAGCTGGCACCCATCCAGCTAAAATTCACCAGTTCGCTGCGGCTTTCCAGTTGCACAACAAACATCAACAAACTACTTGTAAAATCACGTCTTCAAAGTATCTGTCGACATATCATGTGACATATCTAGTAGAATATCTGTCGACATTTTTTTTCTGCAGATCTAAAAACTTCCAACCTGCTCCCACCATGATCCTCATGGAGATTTTGAGTGGCCCCCTGTGCCGTGGGCGATTTGAGGTGCCCAGCAAATATGTCGCAATCTCTGCCATCTGCCTCCGTGAAAACCGGCTTCATTTGAGGTCTGGAGGTTGTAACACCAGTCGTGGAAAGCACCACAGGGGGGATTGTTTGTCTATGGCAAGAGAGCATAAGAGAGCCATAGTTGCTTTATGTTGCTTTCATCACTTTGACATTCAGAAATCACGTGGCTTTGACCCTCAGAGCCAATCCTTTCCCCAAAGCTACGGAATGCTACGGATCTGCTTCCCGGACTTCCATTCCAAGAACGAAGAGTTTGGACCATCGACCACTCGTGTCACCAACACCTTCAAAATCAGTCAGGTCTCTTCAATTGTTACATGCCATGCGGACAAAAAACAACTGAAGAATTGAAGTATGTTGAAGTTGAAGACTTCTTCCTCTTGACCTAAGCCTCTGTTGGCAACACTCATAGATTCATGGAAGGATCTTTCCAGTGATCCAACAACATGTAACATCTATAAAATCTGATAAATAGTTTTGGATGGATGTGCAACATCTTCCTTACCTCAATATCCAGCAGCGGAAGTTTGGCCATGGTGAAAAGAAACTTGGCCATCGGCCATGGTGATGCCCATAGCGACTGTGGCACTATCACCCCAAAATATCCCCTGTCGCTGAATCTGGTTGGTGGTTGACCTACCCCTCTGAAAAATATGAGTTCGTCAGTTGGGATGATTATTCATGGAAAGTCATACAATTCATGTTCCAAACCACCAACCAGGAATGTTCATACCCCAAAAATATGGATTTCATGGGGGTAACTTGACCCATTCCCATTTGGGGATGATTGAACCATTGAACCCGAATCAGAAGCCATGTGAAAAACCCAGCTATAGCTAGGAATGAACAACCGTTGACCCATTGATTTGCCGCAACCAAAGATACAGAGAAGTGATGATTTCAGGAACAGGTCATCAGTTTTGAAATGATGGTCTTTGAATTACCGCTTCTGCGTATATATTTGGCATACGAATCATTCTGAATCATTATCAATCCCATTAAGATTCCATATCATGATAAGGTAATACCAATCCCAATTAAAAAAAAAAACATCAATCATGTAATCCCACTAAAGTCCCACTATATCAATCCCATTAGAATTATCCATGTATTATTCCCACTATATCACCATTGTCACGTTCTGGCCTGGAGGCATCTGCGGCCTCGTCCGCCTTGCCTTCGTAGCAACTCGCAGGCCTCGGTGCTGAACGAAAGAAATGGGGGAGTAAACAATAACGGTTCAACCCAACCAAAAAATGGATGAAATATGGATGAAATAAGGATGACATAAGAATGAAATAAGGATGAAATAAGGATGAAATAAGTGTGTATATATATATATGATATATAACTATATATAATTATATATATATGATATATAACTGTATATATATATATGATATTTATATAATTATAAATATATATATATATACCGTTTAACATGATTAACATTGATTAAGTGTTCAACCCAACCAAAAAATTGGATTTGGAAAAGGGATGAACATGGATGAACCTTGGCATTTAATGGATTTTAACCAACAAGAGAAGGGATTGAAGTGTCGAAAATTAGATGTTGATGGATGTTGATGGATTGAAATAACCAACATTAACCAACACAACTGGGTATTCCAACCACTAATATGATCGAATATGTGAGTCTAGCAGCAAAGATCGGGATTGCACCCTACTATTCTTAGGGTGATTCACTGTTCTGTCTTTTTCGGAACCCCCATGCTTTCAGAGATCAAGTCTCAAATTGCGCGGTGTCTCCATAGCCGATTGCTGGTTTACGAGTATTCCTCATTCCATGTACGTCATGTTGCGGGGGTGGAAGGTACCAAATAATTGAAACTGCCAACCAAATCATGAACTAAAGCTGCAACTGACAAGACATTCTGGTTGGTGGTTTCAAAGTCAGTTGGGATGATTATTCCCAATATATGGAAAGTCATAAAATTCATGTTCCACACCACCAACCAGCATTCTTCCTTCTACGGGCCGAGCAGAGGATTCCACCGTGCACCCGCCAGGGGCGGCAGAGAAGCCTGCCCCAGGGTGGCCCCGCGTTTCCCCGTGGCTTGGATTTATCCAACAAGAATTCCGAAGAATGGGTCCGAACATGTAATAATCCAAGCCAGGATATGCAAAATAACCTTAGAATACTATATTATATATATATATGTATATCAATCTATATCATAAATAACATCTAAGACCTAAGATCCAAAATTTAATGGGTTGGGGATGCTTGCAACATTGCAGGGGTGGAGCTATTCATATTCAACGTTACTGCAAGTGGTTAATATAATCTATACATGACTGGGAAAGTTTTTCTAAAATCACAAGCGTATGAAACCCTCAATTCGGATGCACATCCCAGCAGAATATGTGGATATCATGGATATCTTCAGCAAAGGTTCCGGCTGGGCCAGAAACTGCTAAGATTTTCTGACGACAGGTCAGAACATGTTTTACAAATTTTACAAATATATCAGGCTAATTTTTAATAGGAAACATGATAATCAACCTGTGGATGATAGGTTTTAACCATGGTTTTCCCCAGCTTTTTGAGGTACCAAACAACAAAAAAAATGGATTCAACAACATACCCAACTTATGGTTGGTACCACCTCCAATCTCCTCCCTTCCCCACCTCCCGCCGAGCAGGGAGCTCCAAATCGTCCGAGTCGGTGCAGTTCTCACGCCAAGTGCAAAAGCCCTGCAAAACTCCGGACAACTACTTGGGGGTGCAGTTGGGGCTTTTGCTATCTTTTGCTCATGATACCTCTGGTAATAACCTCCATAAGCTGGGATATAATCCCTGCATACAACTGTGGTTGCCACTAGCCACTTACTTGTGGAACTGCACCCCTAAGTAGGGGGTCTGGTAAACCCGTCATTTTCGATAGTAATCCCAATGTTTGGTCGGGAAATTCCCTGCGAATCAGCATTGTGATAGCATTTGGGTTTTATGAAATGGTGCAGCACCAAAATCCTATGGTTTGTCATCATTTTCTCTTTAAAACACTTTAAAACCAACCCCCATTTCCCATTTGCCTTGCCCTTTGCTCAGCCTCCAACAGCTCCGTATAGATCTCTGCAATGCCTTCGCTCAACAGCAGCTGCTCTGGTACCTCCCACCACTGCAGATGAGGTATTTGGCATTGGAAAGTTGATCTGAAATGGGGATGGGGATGTTTCAAACCCAGAAATATGTCTGTCTTTAATTCCCACCCGAGGGAAAATGATGAGAAAACCATTGTTTTCACTGATTTCTTGAAGTTCCAAAATTCTTGCCAACTGAAATCCCCTCAAAAGGGTCCATGATCCGATAGGGAAAATACTGGTTTGCGAAGTCCCCCAGGTGTCATACGTGAAGGATTGCAGCCCTAGTGAATTTAAGTTTTGATACAGCACCATCTCACCAAAAACTGGGTTCTAACCTAGCTCATTTTCAAACAAAATCTGGTTGGTGGTTGACCTACCCCTCTGAAAAATATGAGTTCGTCAATTGGAAGGATGACATCCCATATATTATGGAAAATTAAAAAATGTTCCAAACCACCAACCAGAAAATTGTTTAAAACCAAACCCACATCCTGACACCTTGCAGTTCCAACGCAGCACCTCCTCTTCATCTTGGACGTAGCGATCAGCGACCTCACAGACGAGGCGAGCGGCTCGGCGCAGCAACGCCATGACGTGCACTGGGGCCGCAACCATGGAGCAATGCGCTTGAAGAAGCGACAGGAAATGTTCGTATTGATTCTTGACGCTGTCTGCCTGCACTCCCACTGGAACCACTGGAACCAGGCACCAGCTTCAGGCTATGTGCATCTAAGGATGTTGCAACTTCAAATGCCAGCTGTTCCAAGGAGGAAAACACAATCCAAGAATTCAGAATTTGTCTCATCAAAAAAAGTTCAAGTCCTCCTCTGAAATTCTTGAGTTGCGCTTTTCTTCTTAGTGCCCTCTCAGTTGAGGAAAACAACAGCATCAACAGCATCCTCCACACCACTGATGGCACCTGGAAGTCAAAAGCCTCGGATTTTGAGTCTGAGACGTTTGACGTTTGACTTGTCGGTGACAGAATGCCAAAGCAACAACTCCCGGGGAATATTAGATGGGAATATATATTTTTTTCGCCACATAGCTCACCACAATGCCATGGATATCTGGATTTCTGAATTAACTGTGGTAAAACCACCTTAAAATTTACCTTAAAATTTACGAGAAATGCATGTAAACCATCAACATATGGCTGATTTAAAATCAGTGCTTTACTAACAATCTGTGAACATCTGACATTTAGAGGTTTCCGAAGTCAATGGGTGGGTTACAGTATCCCCAGTTCTCAGTCATTGTTTGTTTTCGATTATTACATCCATTATCCGTTGGGATTGAGTATATCCATTTACATCAATGATTATTGATATATCCCTATTCTATCATTAATTTAGTATAATATATCCTTATTATATCCCTATTAATATCATATATATATATATATCAATCCCTATCTGATATCCCTATTATTCAACCTATTATATCCCTATTATATCCCCATGATATCCCAATTTCCATCCAGCTGTTCCATTTTGGGGTACCCCCATTGGTTTCCCACGAAGTGACCTCCTGCAGCGCCGCAAAGAGACTGGCAGAGGACGCCGCAAACCTTGGTCGAGTCGAGTCGTAACGCGTCGTTAATTTAAAAAAAATGGTGGTTAAATATATGGAAAGCAATGGAAATCATATGTTAATCAATATATGATTATACTATGGAAATTAATATGGAAATCATTTTTCGGATAATCTAATAGGATAATCAAACCATCAACAATGGGGAGATCGGAATATTTAGAATGGAAAATTCCATGGGGAACTGGGGATGGGTCAAGGTTATGAACCTGCCGTGGGGGAATCACCGGCCAGCTATGACGGGTATCCATGCCATTTTGATCCATTTTGACATCCAATAGCCAGCGTCTAAACCTGACCCCATGATTGTTACCCTCTGGTAATTTGTTACATAGCTATTGAAAATGACCATTAATAGTGGATTTTCCCATTAAAAATGGTGATTTTCAATAGCTATGTTAAATTACCAGAGGGTAACTCTTAAGATGATCTAATCAGCCACCATGCCTTTCATAAACCTGACCCCATTATTGTGAACATCAGCCACCAGGCCAATGTTAAACGATTTTTATGGTCAGGACCCAGCCACCATGCCTTTCAACAGGATTCTCAAAAAAAGGGTCGGACTATTCCCATCTTGATTCTCATAGCACAAAAAAACATCGTGGAACTACCAGTCACTGCAGTGTTTGGCCAGTTGTTAAGTCTTTTCGTAGGGAAAACTGTCAGGAAACTGTCTGCATTTGGTAATGAAAGAGCATGGTTTCCTGCACTCTTTCCATTCAACTAATCCATTGATATTCAGGCTTGGGCATGGGGCAAAAACAAACGGGGACGCTTTCTTTTGGAATGACTAATCCATAACTACCAGCTAAATGTTGATGCGAACTGAAGTTCAGAAGGGGATGTCACTGTTCTTGGCTACATTTATATCATATCCCATAAAATATTCCATTGCCCTCTGGTAATTTAACATAGCTATGGAAAATCACCATGATTAATGGGAAAATCCACTATAAATTGTCATTTTCAATAGCTATGTAACAAATTACCAGAGAGTACATCCCCACTGCAGGATGGTCATCCAGCCGAGGCCACTGGGGCACTGACTCATTTGCCATGGGCAAGACCCTCAACGAACTGCCACGGAGGAACATTTCCTGGCACCAAATTTGCCAAATGGTTTTTGGAAAGGCCCGAAAGAATCGATTCAGAAAAGATGAAGCGACTGCGACAGTTTAACAAAAGGGGAGAATGAAATCTGAGAAAATTCAATTTTGAACCGGTTAAACTCGGGATACTGTAAATTATATGTAAAATTGACTTAAAATCCATCAGAGGGATATGCGCACAATCCAAAAATGGGACCAAAAAAAAAGTGCCGAGCTTTTGAAGCACCAAAAATATCCAGCACTTTGTGGCTTTGGACTTTAGGAGTTTTTAAAGTTTAATGCCCCCCGCGCTGTCATTGTTTTCGACCGAATCTGCAGGTCTTGTCCCCTTTTGTGGTGCACGTGGGCGGAGTGTCTTTCCAACAAGGCCAGGCCCCCCAAATCACTTGAAAAAACTCACTTCAGAGTTTTGATACATCATTTTATTGGGTTGGTTTATCATATCCCATGTTTGATTGTACCACGGGTTGCTGGCTAATCATAGTTTTGAGCTATTTTGATAGTAATTATATATATATATATATCATAGATTCTCCGCGTTATATTTTGTCCCATATGGTGTTATTCAATGATATTCCCATTTATATAGTTGTTCTTTAACTTAATATAATATGCCCATTCATTGTTATTGTCATATTTATATATATATATGTTGACTATACAATATATATATATTATATATATATAATGTAATATATAATATATCATATAATATATATATAATATGTATATAATATAATATAATATAATAATATAATATAATATAATATAATAATATATATATTGTATAGTCAATGATATCCCATAGATATCCCCAGGTTGTATTTATAGTTGATATTAGTTGATGATATCCCCTTCTCGCCATTTCTCCCCGCCTGCAAGGCACCCGCAGAGCTACCATGCCCTCGACCTGACAGTGGCACCTGGCTGTGGCACCTGGGGATGGGATTTTCTTAGGTGCAGCGTTCAGGAAATGAATCAGAAAACATGGGGGGATAACGTATGATAACGTGGCGATCTAATCGGGAGAAAACTATATAAATCTGATATCACTTCTCATGAATCATGGATTTACTGTCAAAATTGTGGATTTCACTACGCAACTGGAGATATCATGGCTATATCATGAAAATAATCGGATGTATAGCCAACAAGAAATTGATCTGAGCTGAACATGGAAGTTTAACCAACAGCTATGGGGATATTTTATGGGATATTTCATGAAGGGATATATATATATATATATTATGATATTATATGTATGATCTTTAAGGACGTGTCTGTGAATAGGGTATACCGGTATATGCCCCCAACACTACAATGAGTTGTTCAACCATTGGAGTTTCCTGTACCTTATTTGCAGACGATTGGAATTGGGGATTGGAATAATATCAGCCCAATCCTTGGATGCCACACTGCTGTGCCATAGGGCAATGGAGGGGCTTCCGCATCGGGCTGCGTGGCAGGTGTCAGGTGGGCTTGGCAAAAAAAGGAATGAAGTGCATTTGTTCTTGCAATAATGGGTTTGTTTAAGCCACAACTGGGAGGAGCTCTTTATTGATAGGTCTATGATTGTATGTAAAAAACCAGTACACCGCCAGGCAAAGGATGACAATGGCGCCGTTGCGTCTGCCATAGGTTTCAGGCATGATTTCGAAAGGATTCCAACTTTCCAAGTTTCAAATGGAACTTGCTCTTAGATTACAGTACATAGATTTCAAAAAAAATCCTGCTTGGGATTGTTTTTTTTCGATGTTGTTAGTAGGACAATTGTATCCTCAACTGCATCAACCGGTCAAAGGCCTGCTGTACCTAATTACCTAGACTTCACACCTTCAACATAAGACTAGACTCTAATCATAATTTGAGTTCAATCCCAAGTAAGTCTAACAGTGGCAGCCCCGCATTTAAATGTCCAACATGTTTCAATCTCTTTATGTCAGAATTTGGGTTGGCCCTTCTGAAACAATGTTGCTGCGAGCTCTCCCGTTTTTTCGACGAAAGCTGGCCCTTTTGTCCTGCGCCGGAGCTTGACATTGGGCTTTGGCTGGAGGGTGGAGGTCCATGACAGGTAGAGATCAAATGATTTGCGATTTGGCTTGGCCAGTAGTGTCTGACGGTAGAGTACCCGGAGTACCCCATTCATTCCCATGGCTCATACTGAAGCATTTTTCGATGGCCAATCAGCTGCCAATGTTTTGGACACCAAGTGATCAGACCCACCTGATGAAGAGGTTGTCAGGATTTCCAAATGGACTTCTCAGAGTGAATTATCAAATAATCCATCAGTTTCATATATTTTCATATGTTTCATTGCTTGTATACTTGAATGTATATGAAAAGGTATAGGATGGTATATGTATGCAAACAAAAATACCACTTTAAATAGGTATACGTAGATATCCCGATGATTCCCTTTTTGTATTTCGCAACAGACTGCACCAGTTTATAGTTCACATCCTGGAAACGCCCAGATTTCTGTCCAGGAAACTCGTCGCGGAAACGCCAAGGTGCCGCCTGGACCAGCTGGGGGTTTATCTATATGGTTTATATGGTTAAAATGGTTGTATGGTGAGAGGAGCTACAAATCATCAAAGAGTATACAGAATCAAGAAATATATGTGGTGGTTTCTGAGAGTCATCACTAGCGAAGAAATGAAACATGACCCAGGAAATGTTGTTAAGACCAGCGTCAAACCAAAGGGTCATGTGGACCTAAGCCGTAAACCGTATATACATGCTGGTAATTTGAGATAGCTATGGAGCATCATTATTTTCAATAGGTAATAGTAAATCACCTGTATAAATGGGTTGTCTATGCCATAACTATGTAAAATTATCAGAGGGGACCAAATAAACATGTTGTCCAAATCAGGCAATGACCGGACCCATCCGGACTCTCCATTGCCAGTGATCCTTTTCCACATCCCTGAAATTCGCCGGCGCCTCACGTTAGGCTGGGTACCTGCCACAAGGGAGCTACCCAGCGGCTTGGGGATCACCTTTGGGATCAGGTTTTCGGGATTCAATGAATTTAAGATACTGAGATCTGGTATAATAGTAGGATTTAATCTATACATACATACATACATACATACATACATACATACATGCATGCATGCATGCATGCATGCATACATATATATATATATATGTGTATGACTATATGATACTATATGTACATAAATAAATATAATTAAATATATCTATATAGTTATATATATAATTACATATATATACACAAATACTAATAATACATAGATGGAAACTAAGGAAAGAATTCACCCCAAGTTCCATGCCTTTTGGCTCTATCCTCAACAACGCATTTAGATAAAACATAGTCATGTGATATACCTCTAACATAAACATCCGAGCGGCCCGGAAATCGGCCCAGTGACCAGTGTTTTCATCAATTTTCATGTTCATTATGATGTTCGTCTTGTTGAAAACATTGGCATTTGCCACATGTTTATATCATGGTGATGTCTTGTGGCACTTCATTTCCATTGGCTTTTAAAAACATCATTGTTTTATTGCAATGAAAAATGCATGTTGAACGCCTTCAAAAAAAGTTACGATTTTTGGATGGTGTCGCGTTTCGCCACAGCGCCAGCGATTCTTTTCCATCACTTCAACTTGCGGACCGTCTTTCCAGGGTTATCACACACATCAGCATTTCGATGTATGTATCGCCATTGCCAAGCCTTGAAATATGTCATGATCATTGGACTTTGGCTAGACAGGCTATCTGGCAGCATGTTTTTACAGGCCTTCCAGCAACGTAACATGAAGTGTGTCCACCGAAGTAGAACAGAAGTGTACAACGTAACATGAAGTGTGTTCACCAAAGTACAACAGAAGTGTACAACGTAACATGAAGTGTGCTCACCGAAGAACATCGATGATAACATAGAGACAGGACGTTATTACACCCCCCACCCCACCCCACCCCCCCCACCCCACCCACCCCACCCTCCCCACCCCCCCCCCTCCAACATATCACAACGCAAAAAAAAAACACACGCAAAAACGCTGGGCCGGTTTTCGGGCCGTAAGCATAAACATGTACATAGTCCATCGAATTTCAGCACATTATCTGATTGGTGGTTGACCTGCCCCTCTGAAAAATATTGGTCAGTTGGGATTATTATTCCCATTATATGGAAAAATATAAAATGTTCCAAACCACCAACCAGTTATTGATTTGGATCCAAAAACCGCATGATTTGTCATTCAATGCACTGGTTGGTTACTTTCCGGATCCCCAATTCATGGATTATGCAACTCCCGAGGGATAAAGGGTAGATGAATAACCCCCGAACCAATCATCAGCCAACAGGCGTTGTGCAGCCACTGCCCATTTAAAATTTTGGATCTTCACGAATCTCTTCAGATTTTCAAAAAAAAAGTCCCTAAAAAATAGCCAACATTCTTCGGGTGAGTTACTAAAAAAGGCCAACATTTCCCAAGACATCCCAAGACTACTAATGATAATTTCCGTAGGTTCTCCAATTTCGATTTCTGCTCTAACTTGCTTCTCCCTATTAGTTGAATCCCTGGTCCTTGATGGTAAGTACCCATTATGGGTATGATTCAAAATTGATCAAAATTGGGTAGCCCACTACTTAGATAGACCAGAAAAATAGGCCTTATATATGGTAGGTACCTCCAATAAGTCGGTTCCTGAAATGGCCATTGATTAGATGGTTAATACTATTGTTCTACAAAATTAGGATTAACCATTGGTTACCCAATAGTATTAACTACTTAAAAAATTAGTCAAGATTAATGGGTACTTAGATGGTTAATACAAGTTTTCTATTCCCCTAGTTAGATATGGTTAATACTACTTAATGGTACTTAATAGTAATAACTGCTTTATAAAATGTTGCCCCATTCCCCTCAACTCTTGCCAAAGCCAGGTTTCAGTCCTAGCCTTCGTGGTCTTGGCTGAATGGCACCATCTGTTCAGCGAAGGTCGCTGGGTCGCTGGACAACACCATGCCCGAACAGATAGCAGTATCAATATGCCTTCAAATGTATGAAACATGTAATCTGGTTGGTGGTTGACCTACCCCTCTGAAAAATATGAAAGTCAGTTGGGATTATTGTTCCCAATATATGGAAAGTCATAAAATTCATGTTCCAAACCACGTAATGATATGTAATGATATGTACAAGATCTGATTGTCTTTAAGGTTGTTCTTGGATTTTGAGAGATCTGATCTCTGAAATCCTGTGTCCAGTGTCCGCTAAGCAAAGGGTTTTGTCTCACCATACTTTTCTATTCCATACAAGTTGATCTATAGGAGTTTCTGGGAATCTCATATTTCACATTAATATATAGAAATATGGTTTTAAAGAGATATATGCAGCTACACCCAAATTGAGCGTTACATGTTGATCCCGGCATCATCATGTGACAACTTGACCAGTCAGGGCATTAGCAGGGTTCATGATACAGCAACCTTTAAAAAGCGACAATAGAAATGTTAAAGCCATTTCAAATGAAAGCCATTTCAAAACTAGGAGATATGTTTTTCCATCAACAAATCCTATCATCCAAATAATCCACTGTAGATGACTTTTTTCATGCTTCGGGGGTTCCTTTTCAAGATTTCCTCCATACACCACTTGAGGAATGGCTAGGCCAAGTCCAGTCAATCCTTCGTGGTCCGGCCATGTCCGGCCTGGAGCGATCTTATGTAGGAAGCGGCACGCTTCTCCTTTTCGACAGGCGCCCTGCAGGCGTGGCTTGTCGATTTTTCTTTGCTCGAAGCACCGGGTGCCAGTGATCCAATCATTACGCTTGGAAAAAGGCTTTGAAATGGTGTGAGAACCATCTTTTAAAAATTAAAAACCATTTTCACTAACACCAACAAAAAGGTTGATGTTTGCAGGTATTGTATCCTCCCAAAAGCGGGGATGATCATTATGGAACTCCCAAAAAACACAGCTTGACCGGGCCAACTCAGGGTGTCAACATCTCGCCTCCTGAAACGCGAAACAGTATTGTCGTGGTCCTGGGCAACCAGGGAAGCGTTGGACACTTAGCGTAGCAGGGCCCCACCCAATCCTGAACCATACTTCATCATCCATGTTTGGGACTATATATTATATTTTTGGACCATACCCGGGATTTCATGACAGATAACCACCAACCCAGCCGACTGTGGGATTTCATGGGGGATGCCCGGCAGTGCCTTCTACTCAAAACAAAGTAGTTGACTTTGTCAGGTCCCTTTTGCTTGGACACACATGTTTCTTCATTATATCATCCTGTGGCATATCGATACAAATGTAAATATGATTATATAATTATGAAATTATATAAATATGTTCATTTTTGTATGTACCTCGGATTACATGAGCATACGCATGCATCCATTTTTCTGTGCACCCCCCAATGTCAGAGTTTCACTGCATATTCCACCACTCCTCTGTACAACTGATCCAC